ATTTCATATTTCTTTAAAATTTACTTGAAACTAGCATAAACATGACTGCTATCCTCCAGTGAGCAAAAGGACATCCTTTAAGCCATGCCTTAAGTCCTTTTGTTTATGATGGAATATGGTTAACATACATGGAAAATGCACTACCTTAAAATGTGTCAAATATTAATATTGTAACATCTTTAATGGGATTGGGAAAAATTTGATGCTACTTACTTCAGTGCAACCTTCACGGCGATAAAGCGCTAGGAATAATATAAAAGAAGAAAAGTTACAAGAGCTTTTAAAGTGAAAGCTGAATATTCCAAGAACATTGGAATACTGTCACATCTCTAGAAATTAATACTATACTGAGGAAGTCTTGATAAGGGCAAAATTAGACATGATAACATGCCACTGTCTTAAATTGGACAATGAAGAAATAAGTCGGGAATAAAATCAGTTCTTCAGAATTACTTGCTGGTGAAGGGTGCAATGGGTACCATTGTCTGCTGGTGAACAAATCAATCATTATTGGAGGAAATCAGGCTTAAACATATAACTGTATTATAATTTTCCTGTTTTGGACACATGATGCAAAAAGAAAGATTAGAGAAAGATATTGTGCTTAGAAAATGCAAAAAGGAAAGACCAGCAAAGTGATAGATGTCATTCTAGAAATAATTATCCATAGGGCAGGGGTGTCAAACTCACATCATCATGACAGCATCACATGACATATTGGGACTCCCTCCCCCCCTTCGTAAACGGCATGGGCACGGACAGCACATGACACATCTGGCCCATGGGCCAGGAATTTGACAGCCCTGCCATAGGGCTACCATGTTTTGACAGCAATTAACAGTAATAGAGTATGTTGCATCTAGCAACTCATTTCCCATTATGTAGTAGCCAGCCTCATATCCACAAGGGCTTACTTGTGCTTTTGCATTCACTAAAAAGGAAGAGTTGAAATAGTTTAATAAAATGTACTTAGTGCTATTTCCTATTCCAAAAATGTATTAGTCAAACTCATTTTATTTGCAAAGTCAATACAGATAGTCCTTGCTTGCCAACCGCTCGTTCAGTGATTATTCAAAGTCACTGAACGAGCGGTTGGCAAGCAAGGACTATCTGTATTGACTTTGCAAATAAAATTAGTTTATTTTATTTGCAGATTTATGACCGATCCTTCAAGTTGCAGTTGTCTAAGTGTCACTGCAGTCACAGGTTACGGATATTTGGCAACCAGTGTGCATCTATGATATCCACAGTGTCCCACAGTCACATGATCATCATTTGTACATAATTTTCTTTTAATTTCTTTTACGATATCCTATTCCTGGCACTCATTTTCTTTATTGAATCTTTGAATCTTTCCTTTCTGCATGCTCCCTCACCCGGAAGCAGCCACCTATCTGCCCTCTATCCTGCTTGCAAGCCACCTAGGACTTGCAGTTTCCCACTGGCTTCCCCATTGATTTTGCTTGTGGAAGTTGTGAGGATGGGCTTGCTCAAGCACCACAAAGGGGAGTGCCAGGACTGCTGTTGCTAAGCAATGTCATCATGTGACCTCACTCTTTACAATCACATTGCTTAGCGATGGAATTTTTAGTCCCAGTTATCACTGTTAAGCAAGAACTATCTATAGCTACCCTAAAAGTTTGGGGCGGTTTTTTGGCCATTCCAGAGCCATTCAATATTTCTCTAGCAGCTGAGAGGCATAGCCTTTCAGCTCAGTGACATATATGAAAGGGACATGGTGGTTTGGAAAGAAGATTGGTAACATTACTTTGCTGCAACAACCCGTCTCTGGACTGCCCCATCTCTTTCTAGATACCATGGAAGAAGTCTTGAAATTACATGCATACTGAGAGACACTACATCTCAAAAACTTGAGGCCTACATTCATAATTCGGAGCATGTAGTTTTGTTCATGTGCCTTGTATTAATTATCTCACTTCTGTCACCAAGGAACTGTCATGGAAGTGTAAGGATATTTTTAATTATGTGTTGACAGAACAAGATCTATTTATGCTTGTTTATGCATGCCTCTCTGGATCTGTTCTAGCAAGATGCTTGCTTTTTTTTTTAAAAAAAAGACAGTTTTACATATTCTTCACCTTGGAAACAGTGAAAGAGGGTAATTTTGTCTTCTCAACACTGTCTTTCATTAAACAGATCCACACCTTCTAAAAATATGTAGCCTTGTGATGCAGTTTTTTGCTTGATTAAATTATCATTTGCAGATTCTGAGAACTGTCTGCTTCTCTGAGAAAGAAGGGATCTAACTCTGGTGCCTTTATCCTCCCAAGTTCAACAAATACTGGATTGTCTAGCTTACACTGTCTGTTTCCACCCCCCACACTCCCTCAAGACTGAGAACAGCCCTTAACAGACTGCTGTGCTGGCAGAACATAATTCCAAATGGCAAAGGGAACTTTTTATAGCAACAGCAAAGGGCAGGAGAATTGCTATCTAGACCTAGGAGCATTTCAGAACACAGCTTTCTCCGTTTGGGCAGTTCATCATTTCTCTTAAGTAAGTGTTATTTCTCAGCTGTGGTCAGCATTAAGATAATTTCCCCCCAACTACTGGTACAATTGAAAACCAGTCAGAATTGTCAGATTAAAAAGCAAATCTATAGCTTTCATAAGCAGTAAGTCCCAAAAGAATTTGGGAATTTATCACTGAGTGGTTCAGAAACATATACTTATATCTTAAATCCCTGCTCCATATGGATAATTTTAGTAGAAAGATCCCTTTCCAACTGACAACCCTAAATACTTGCATGATATCCCTGGTGCCTTGTTCAAGACAATTATAACAAACATCAAACGGATAAGTCATTTGTGAGCATGGCTGGAAATATTACAGACATTAATAGCCAGTCACATATTTCTAAATTGTCCAAAGCCTGAGATACCTAACTAAATGATTTTGCCATTTGGAAAAAAAAATTCACATTGTATTCTATAATGTTCAGGAAGGTCAGATTCTGGATATATACCGTAGCTAAAGTTTACTAATCTGGTTGATGTCTACACTGAAGCCAGTGTAGAAATGGTATTTTCACCTAAGATATGTTTAAGGTTACTTCCTTTGAATAATAACCAAGTTGTTCAAGTTTCATATAAAAAGGACATTTGGTTGATCACATTTCATAAGCTAATTGGCTGCAATATTCTTCAGTACATACTGAAGACCCAAGAACAGTTGGCATGCAGAGAAATTTGGTATTTTTTTTTAAATGTCTATTTTGTTAAATGTGTCAGTAGAAGCACACGTTTTCCATTTAGTGTTTTTGAAATTTTGATAAAAAACTCTTGGGGCGAGGACTGTTTTTATGGTTCTGTGAAAATCCCATGTACGTTTTCTGAGCTGTATAATGAATATGTTGCCAAGACCTGCTTTTAAATGCCATTTGGAAAAATAATTCACCAGGGCTGTGTGTTTGTTCTTGATGTGGAAAGTCCCTTAGTGGTTCCCTACAAAAATTTGCTATGCAGAAGTGTGCCTTGTCCTTTTGCTAAACCAGAAGAACGATAGAAAACAGGCTGAAATTCAAAATGCCCTAAGATAGTCCTCTGTAGACCATCTTGCTGAAAAAGCATGGCTGAAATTATTCATTTGACAGGAGGTCCTCCTCAAACTAATTACTTGACTATAACTATCTGTTGTCTTTTTCTTTGGGGGAGGGGGAGGAATAAATTTTGAGATAACACTGAGGATAACTTGGAAGAAGTCCCTCTAGCATGGTTATGGCCCTTTGGTAGTGTTAAAAGAATTTAGGGCCTGTCAAATTTTTCAACTTTCAATTTCCAAACATGAAGGGTGCTCAAAAGTTGTGACATGCCTTGGGGAGATATTTTGGTTATTTTAATATAATTTAGATGTCCTTGGTAAGTAACTACATAAATATCCTAACCTTTAAACATTTTGTTTGTTTCATTTGATAATCCAAACTAAGTTTTCATAGCATGATGTTATATTATTTCATACCCTCACGTACAGGGTTTTCCCTGATTTTCCCTGGGGTGTGTGTGTGGAATTTATTTTTTTACAAAATATATAATAATTGTGCTTTCAATTACAGTCATTCTAGAGCAGTTCCTAGAATCGTATGACTTGTATGAATTCATGAAGTTCCATGGATCGTATGAATCCACTCTGGCGGAAATTGTGAGGCCACAAATATTCTCCTCCCTCCCCTTTAATTATTTTAACCGACTGATTAAAAAGGTCAAAGAGTGTCTTGAGTGTCCAATAAAAGGCATGACTTCTGCCCCATCAGCAGATTAAATTGCTATTGGGAGACAGGCAGGACCGAAAAGGTCACTTCAGAAAGGGGAAAGCCATCTAGCAAAAATGGTGGGAAAGCCTTCTGCCATTAGGAAATCCACCTTCTATTCTCTCGGTGCCAAGTCTGGAGCCTAAAAGCTTCTGCCCTGAGAACTTTTCTGGCACAAAGCTAATGGAACAGGAAGTATGGTATCCAGGGACTTCGTGTTCTCTTTTGCTCTGATCTTGCAATCATGAGAATCTCCATTTTATAGCAAGTGCAGAAAGAAGGAAAGGGTCTGGAAATCTCTGAAGGGACAGCATTACCGTTTTGATTAACTACAGTAATTCGGAAGATCCCTGATACTGGGTGCTACCAAATGCAGTAAGTATAGCAAGTACAGTAAATTCTTAAGACTTAACTGTATTTAATAGGACATTCTCAAATGTGATCTCAGCCTCCAAGAATACATGTTATGGGTAATTACACATGACTGGAGAGGGCATCAATTTACTTGCCAGAATCTTGTATCTGTATTACAAATGCCTCTCCTTCACTTTCTTAACTTCTCATGTAAAAGACAGTTTAAGCTCCTGTATAAAGATGAACTACAATTCTAGTGTTGAAATATTCCTTCTATGTTGATTCTTCCTCTTTCACTTTCAAAATCCATACTGTTGAGAGTTTAGTATCATCCCCTCAATCTTGGCCTGTGTATAGTCCAGAGGCCAGGAATCAAACATTTCTCATTTCAAGATTTATTATTCAAAATAACAAGATTCCCATTCACGATGAGCTTTCCCATACTGATGGATATCAAGAATACTGAGATTTTATGCCTTGTCTTGAAAAAAAGGACCCTGGAATTAGCTTTTAGTGTTAAATATGGCCGGTACAGTACTTCTGATCTGAGGCGCAAAATAAGAATTTATTCCATGGTTTTAACAGACTTTTTAGCCAAGTAAAACTATCAAGAATCCAGTTTGAAGCCAGTTAAACTCAGGTCAGAGAAATAGAGCAGAGATGAGGCAGGGCATGGAAACATTTCTTTAAGAGAGAAGGTAAGGGCCAAAGCTGCTGTGGATATTACGAGAGGAAGGAGGAGATTTACTCTAACAAGAACTGAGAGCTAATGAGACAGGCAGGATTGTCAGCCTAGACAATTCAGCAGATACCAAAGTCAGGCCTGGAAAAGGATAGGAATCTCCTCCTTTGATCCAGAGTTCTATGGCTGGTGAGCATTGGATGCCACGCAAGCATGCTTTGCTTTAGACTGCCATGGTTGTTCTTGGTTCCTTTCCCTTGTTAGGGTGGCAGTCTGGTGGGGAGAGAGATCTTTCTGCTTCTTGCTGGAGAGAAGTTAAAGGCAGTCACAAGTGTTCAGGGTGGGCCTGAAGACATGTAATAAACTCAGAAACAGGTTTGTTTTTGTAGCAGATCTCATAGACAGCGGTGAAGAGTGGGAATCTGCAAGGGAAAAGATACAGGTAACAAACGGATGAAAAATGATTAAAAAGAGACCAAAAGAGAACCTTTCTTAAATGTTCCATCCCACAAGAAAGGCTAGACAGAATGAACAAAATTATTTTTCATTACAGAGTTATTCTTTGGGGGGAAAACACTAGATTTTCTTTCAGGTAAATACAGTTATAGTAAATAAACCAGGATGACATTTCCTTCTATATAGAAGTAACAACTTTTGTTTATTAATCAAGATAGTCTGGGTATCTATAATCTAATGCTAATGTCCTAAATGATTGACTAATCGACTAAAGAGCTGGTAGTTGCTAATCACATATTGTTTAACTGGCTAACCATTCTACAAACTGGCCAGCCACTCTTACCAAGCATCACACAAATTTGCAGGGTGTCAGCATAGCCCAGTTACTGATGCCAAGCGAAATGGGAAGGAAGGCTGCTGAACTCACTTGTCTGTCAGATTCCTGTGCTTCAGAATGTGATGCAGCTCTGCTGATGTCTGAGGACCCTGCAGTTTCTGTCCATGGAGCATCTCATTTTCCAGTTGCTCGATAGACTGTGAAATACAAGATAAAGCCCCACTTGTGAGTGATGGACTGGATATTCCAAGTAGCTTTTATTGAGCCTTCTTTGGTGACTCCCTAAGTGAAAAATTTAAAGTTGCTTATTTTGCTTTGGACAAACCTAAACTCCACATGTCTTCGTTTCTCCTTAGGGGCATCCCGCAGCCTATAGTTTAGTTATAAAAAACTATGCTTGCATATATGATCTGGATCAGGGGTCTCCAAATTTGGCAACTTTAAGACTTGTGACTTCAACACCCAGAATTCCTGGGAATTGAAGTCCACAGATCTTAAAAGTTGTCAAATTTGAAGATCCCTGATCTGGAGAACAGTAGAGTACAGGTTTTGGCATCCTTGGTGACCATGATTTCCAGGATTGGTTGTGAAAAGTTGTAGCAGTAGTAAAACATAAGACAAACATTAATGGATAACTTTTCTTAGAGTGGTCAACCTAAAAGTTGGGGTTACACAGAACTGTAAGTATAATTTAGTGCATGTGTACCACCGCCCCAATCCTTGCACAGGAAACTCATGAAAATTGCATCATCCTAAAATAGTCTTAACATAATTTAAATATGCAGGCATGGTAAAAAAAGAAATCCTATTCCCACCTAGATGCATAATCTAGCCCCACTTATCATCATCTCAGTGCAGGTTTCCTTCTCTTCAAAAATTAATACATGTGGTCTCCAGCCACCCAGATTGCACATTGTTGCTTTATAGCAGATCAATGTTTCTATTTTGGAGTTTAAAAAATAATGTTCATGAAATTAGTCAATGCTCTCCAAGGCCGGAGTTTATAATTACTTCTCATTTGGGACCAGATCAAAGAGGATGAACTCAAGTTGTACCCCTTATAGTTTCAGGAGATATGATACAGGATTCCTTTCTCACAATATTGCAGAAGTTCCTCTATGCCTGTGATGGTGAACCTATGGCACACGTGCCTGAAGTGGCACATGGAGCCATGTCGCCTGGCCCGTGTGGCATTACCCGTTCCTCTTCTGACACGCATGCACACGCAATGATCAGCTGGCCTTTGTGCGTGTGGCAGTACCGGAAACAGGAAGAGCTGGTCTTCTGTTTTCCAGTATGAGCATGCATGGCAGCTAGCTGATCGACACGTACGAATGCTCAGCAGTAACCGGAAGACTTGCTGGCTGGCACGCATGTGCATGCCGGAAACCGGAAGTACCTAATCCAGCGTGCACATGCCCTCTGGGCAGCTCTTCTTTCTGGTTGTGGCTATGACGAGCATGCGTGCGCGGTGCTCCCTTTTTGGCACTTTCCAACTAATGCAGCACTGCAAAGAAGCTTACGTTATGCCACCACATATTGGTTCACTAACAGCCTTGCTGCCTGAAACCAAGGTATTTACTCTTTCTGTGCTTTTCAGCCACTTCTGATGTCAGGCTTCTTTCAGCCAAATTTTACTGACCTTGCAATCCAGTTCCAGGCCTTGACCTTTGCAATTCAAATTTGACATAAATACTAGTTTTTATGAAATCCTCAATGTTGCAATCAGAACACTGCAACAATTAATTATATATTCCCAAGGCCCTTGGCAAAATGTATCAATATCTTTGCAGAGCCAGTACTGCAGGATGAATCTCTTTCTGAATTATGCTCAGGAAATACTTGCAAACTGCAAGGGAGAAAAAGCTCCACTTCAGCCATGATTACTCTTTGGCAGCCACTGAGTTTCATACATATACCTACCTACCTACCTACTACCTACCTACCTAACTGGAATCTGTTGAGGTGTTCTCAGTTGCTATAGTATAACCTTTCTGTCCTTTGTGCCCTTAAATCCAAAGCCCTTCAATTCTAGATGCCCTTTTCAAGTTCCTTTTGTTTCCCATTGTGTGTTTCCACCTCCTAATAATTCCAGTTGTTCCTCTCATATAGTATTTCATTTTTAAGTGAGCTGAACTATTATGCCTTTCCCTATAGTTAGGCAAAGCCCTTAAGAGTCTCAACTATTTTTCAAACATTGCTGTTCGATCAAGGTATCACATTCTGGTTCTAAACTATTATATAAGTTCATCCTTCAAAAACCCCATTTAGAAATAGGCCTGTTCCTTCAGAATCTGTCCATGCCAGTTCTCTGAGATGTTGCTGCACTTGGTGAAAAGATTCAACTAGATCTGTGATGGCGAACCTATGGCACGCGTGCCAGAGTTGACATGCAGAGCCCTCTCTGTGGGCACGCATGCCCTTGCCAGCTGCTCTCCCAGGTTCTGTTGCACACATGTGCACCGGCCAGCTGCTCTCTTCCGAGTTCCGGCACTCTGGCACACGCTCCAGCTGCAAAGGTTAACTATCACTGAACTAGATTAATGCATCTGTCCCCACAAGCTATGCCACACTAGTGGTACAGTCATTCCAAAGAGAAGAGAAAAGGTTGTAGAAGGAATTGATTTGCCCCCTCACATACTAGCAGAAATTAGGACACCTGGAAAAGTGGCAGTGAACATAACGAGGTGTGCGATGAAATTGTGTCAAATGTCCAAATAAATCTTGGCGCATTTACCAGCACTCCCTCCCTGATACAATTGCTGCCTCAGACATTTTGGGGTGGGCTCAAGGTTCGCCTGATATGCCAGTTGCGCCCCTTTCTAGATCGGGACTCCCTACGCACAGTCACTCAGGCACTCGTCACTTCCCGCCTGAACTACTGCAATGCTCTCTACATGGGGCTCCCCCTGGGGTGCACCCGGAGGCTCCAGCTGGTCCAGAACACGGACGCGCGGGGGATTATGGGGGCGACGAGGCGCTCCCATGTGACACCTCTCCTGCGCGAGCTGCACTGGCTCCCGGTGGTCTTCCGGGTGCGCTTCAAGGTGTTGGTGACCACCTTTAAAGCGCTCCATGGCTCAGGGCCGGGGTATTTACGAGACCGCCTTCTGCCACCAATAGCCTCCCACCGGCCAGTACGCTCACACAGAGTGGGCCTCCTCAGGGTGCCGTCCGCCAGACAATGTCGGCTGGCGACCCCCAGGGGGAGAGCCTTCTCTGTGGCGGCACCCACCCTCTGGAACAACCTCCCCCCAGAGATACGTACAATAACAGACCTTCGGATTTTTCGTCGGGCCCTGAAAACCCATTTATTTCAGCTAGCTGGGCTGGCTTGAGTTAAATTTTAAACTGATTTTAAATTGGAATTTTTTAATTACGGCCAGAATATTTAATTATTTTAAACAGTTTTTAGATTTTGTATGTCTTGTTTTTACTTTGGCTGTTCACCGCCCTGAGTCCTATATTGGAGAAGGGCGGTATAGAAATTTAAACAAATAAATAAATAAATAAATAAACCAACAGTGATTTATTCCAGAAACTATGACTTATGTAGTCATATCTTACTAGTGAATCATAAAACGACCTGGATGGCTTGACTTGCTTACCTTGCCAGTCTTGGCAAACGCCTCGGCTACTTTACGGTTACGGCCTCCATAACACGTGGTAATTAGATCAGCAACCCCACAACTCTCTAGGAAGGTGGAACATGTGACAGGTCCCTTGCAGAAGAGCTTGGCAAAGGCAATCATCTCCATCAGGCCCAGACGAATAACAGCGGCCTTGGTGTTGTCTCCAAAGCCCAACCCATCACAGAACCCAGCTCCAACAGCCACCACGTTCTGAAAGAAAGACAGGACACAAAGTGTTAATAACCAGGAAAGGTTTGGTACTTAGCTAGCTTTGCAGATCAATTCAACATAGCAGCCTTTGGTGGCCAAAACAAAGTTACAAATGAGTCCACTGAGATGGCATTGTGTTTGAAAAGCTCACATTCTAGTTAATCTTGTATCTGCACCAGCTTCCCTCTGCCCCCTACCATCTCCAGGCATGGTAGAGAAAATAATGGCCTTAACCAAACTCCTCCTGAATGATAGGTTGAGATTTGCTTCTGGCCATTCCTCTGTCCTCAGAAGGGAGAAATTAATTCCTATACCTTGAGAGCACCACAGAGCTCTACTGTGTCCGCTTCCTGTACCACTGTAATTCGGAAGTTGGGTGTCTGCATCAGTTCCTTCAGAATCTGTCCATGCTGTAGGTTCTTGCAGCCTAAAAGAATCAGTTGGTTTATTTATTTATTTGTAAAATTTCTCTTACCACAGGGTTACCCTTGGTGGCTTACAATCTTCGAAAGATAAAACCTATATTTACAAAAAGCTAAAAAATAAAGATATAATACTGTGAGGATCCAAATACTGCACCCCAATTAGAAGAAGGGGAGGGTAGGAGTAGGATGAGGGGAGGTGGGATCTATTGTTAATGTATCAACCACTCCATGATACTCCCACCAGCTGATAACATATATGTTCTTTATCTCTATGTGCCTGTTGATGGCTGATTTGTCTGAGTGCCAGGTTTCCAGGAACTCTCTAGCATTTTTGGATTTGGCTTGATCTAGGATGCTTACTGTTTCCCAGTTTATTTATTTATTGTTTATTTATTGGTTCGATTTATATGCCGCCCTTCTCCGGAGACTCAGGGCGGCTTACAATGCGTTAAGCAATAGCCTTCATACTTTTCTATATACCTGTTTAGTAGGGCTTTCGGCCCCCCCTAAGCGGTGTTCTTTTTATACAAAGTCAGCTTATTGCCCCCACAATCTGGGTCCTCACTGAAACTATGATTTCAAACTATGGTTAAGTCTATCCATGTGTTATGAAATTAAGGAGTTTTTATCATATGTTCTAACTGCTAGTTGGTGTTCATGGATACACCTGTTTGTCCTACATAGTGGCTGTTATAATTGTTAACTGTATGTTGTAGATGACTCCTGTCTTTTCTTTTGGGGCTGCTGGTCTTTTGGTTTACTTAGGATGTTTCGGAGGGCTTTATCCTTTTCACACCATCCTTGTGTTGGTTGTGATGTAAGGAAATAGATATTCTATAAAACATCTTCCAATAAAATGGATGGAGACCCGTGTAACTTTATCAAAAAGTGCCTGACCGCTCAGCCCAATACAGCACAACCAACACAAGTGGTGAAAAGGTTAACACTGCCATACATATCCCAAATGTGCTTTTCAAGAGGCAACTGAACTGAAGCTTCTTCAGAGCTGAAGAAGCTTCTTGGATGAGAAACAAAACATCTTCAAAGAAAAACCAGAAAGTCCAGTTGCCTCTTTAAAAAGCACCTTTGGGACAACCATGACCTAGATCGCTACTGGTTCGCACCGGATTGGGCGAACCAGTAGCGGCTGCGGTGGGAGGCTCCGCCCACCCACCCGCATGCGCAGAAGTGCTGTGTGCGTGCACAAGCAAACCGGTAACAATGGGATTTGGAACCCGTCCCTGACCTGGATGACTGAGAATCTCCATAGACATTTAAGGAGAAAATCCAAACAAATATCAACATTTGCTTTATAATGGGGAATGGTTCAGCAGAAGGGCATTTGGGTGAACAACGAATCTTTGTTAATCCTGAAGGTGCTACAAGTCTTTGTTGCGGGAGGGGGAGCTGCAACCAGCCTAAATATGACTCTGAAAATTGTATTGCATTGCATTGCACTGTGGTGCCTCGGGATTTGCTGTGGCAATCATGCAACAGGATCTCGCAGTGTGATCAAACTGGTTGTGGAAAATGCGTATGCAGCGGTGTAAGGTCTCATGGCTGTGTCTAATATTACTACTGCCTCCCCTGATATCAGATATGTAGTAAGAGAGAGCTGTCCGGCTCCCAACCTGTTGCTGTCATTTGCTTTCTAGCTGCTATGCAACATATTTGGATGCCTGCATGCCAGCGAAAATGAGGAGGAACATGAGTGACAGAAGAATGGAAGTGCATCTCTGCACAGCCCCTGACTATGGGGGAATCTCTCTAGATTGCAGGTCTAATCTAACATAGACTGAGCCTGTAACGGGTCTTGAGAAAAGACTTTTTCCCTACCTGCTAACTAGTCTGAGAATGTCTCTCTTTATTTGAACTATGCCTGGTTCCTTTCCCTTTAAGAAAGCAAAGCAAAGCACTAGACCATGGGGGAACACTCTGTGTGTTCCTTGTTTTCCAATCTGTTGGCTCAGCTGGTGCAAATCTTCCCTACTAGGAGAAGACAAGTGCTTTATGAAATTGCAAGGTGGCTTCCCCTATCCTACCACTTACTGCTCACTCCAGGAGTTCAATTCTCACTGGCTCAAGGTTGACTCATCCTTCCCTCCATCCGAAGTTGGTAAAACGAGGACCCAGATTGTTGGGGGGGGAAATATGCAGACACTGTAAACCGCTTAGAGAGGGCTGGAAAGCACTGTGAAGTGGTATATAAGTCTAAATGCTATTGCTATTGCTACTCACAGGAGGAATGATGGAACTAGTGCCATCTCAATGGGAGAGTTAAAAGTACATCTTTAATGTATGGGATGGTATGTGGCCAACTTCCTTTCCCAGAAGCAGCCAGTAATATGTTTGGGTGGAACTGCTCTTTGTTACAACAGTGTCCCAATAATAAAATCTGCAATGAAGGGTGGAGGAACATCCTATGAGTGTAGCATAACATTTAAAGCCCATGTCTGGAGAACTGATCTTCAGCTTGTCTCCAGTTTCCATATGAATCATAAACTCAAGTCCATTACCAATGGTGGTTTCACAGAACTTCTCCTCTGCCACTTCATTAGCTATGTTGGCTCCCATCAGCACACTCATTTCAATGCTTAGCTGCTCACGGATGATGTCTGAGATCAGCTTCAGCCCGTCAGGACCTTCGTCCACACCCTGCAAGCCAAACATACCAGTCATGTCAAATCAATTAATTCGACTAAGGACTCCGCAATAGCTCTGCTTGACTGAGCTCAGTGCCATTCCAGCAGTAAGATTCAGCCAGGACTTAAGTACATTCCTAAGCACTCTGTTAATGTAGGATTGTAAAGGTAGTTCATTTCTTATCATATCATTCACTAGGATGCCACTAAATATAACAAGTAGACCCTTACTCTGCTTGAAACTGATTACTCTTTTCACATTTTGTGGCCACTTGAGCTCACTGTTCACAACTTTCACATTCTTTGACTATGTTGATGTGACTGCCTATCAAGAATAGCACCCTATTTACTGATTAAATGGTTTATAGCAGCATACATTATAATAAACCCATTGGAAAAGAGTAGGAGTCAGATTTGAGCTATCAAGAGCCATCCATTAACTGATGTGGATAAGTGACTGCTGAGAACCAAAAATGACTTTTCTGGTTTAATTGTAAAGGGATGGTTCCTTCTAATTTGCAATGTTTAATTTACCTTTATTCGTTTCCAAAATAAACTAAACATTGCACCAAATTGGTATGCTGAAAGTATTTTCATCTACCTTGGCATTTCGGAGCTCGTGGTAGCCTAGCTGAATAGTTTCTGGAATTGTGCCATAATTTATATTACTGCATATAAATGCAATCTAATTAATCTAACTGGCAGAAAACACACACCAGCGTAACAGAATAGAAATATTTTAAATCAATAAAATTAAATCATTAAAACAAATTAGCTCCTCCTGTTTAACCATGCGACTGTTAGCAATTTAATTGTGGGAGAGGAAAGAGACTGCAGAAATGGTTCTGGATCTAGCCATTCTTCTTTTCCATGTGAAGGAATTAAAATAATAGAAATTTTACTAAGAAGACTGTGTCTTTGCCGTATGCTCAGAGAGATTATGGAACTTCATGTTTCCTTCATGAACTGGAGATCAGAGCTCAGGGCAGAACCATGTGGCTAAGTCAAATCAAGCTCTCTAATAAAAGAGCAACCTTACTAAACTATATGTAACTGCAGATATCGCCCTCATTCTATCCGTTCACATGGTAGTGAAATGCAGTGGTGGGTTTCACTTACCTTTGCTACTGGTTCGCTCGCGCATGCACAGAGCATATTTGATGATGTTTGGGCAGGTGGGCGGAGCCTCCTGCCGCTGCTGCTACCAGTTTGCCCAAACCGAGACGAACTGGTAGCAACCCACCACTGGTGAAATGCCCTCCCAGCAAAGCCTGGCCAAATCTTCCATTACTCCTTTCAAAGGTCATACCAGTTAATCCCCCCCAACCCTGACCCCAGCCACACTCACACCTTGATGAGTGAGATGCCTATTGCTTCTTTCTTGATATGTCCCTTCATCTGTTCGCAGAGCTTCCCGATGAATTGGTGGGGCACCACAAAAATGAGGATGTCTGCATCAGCGGAAGCTTTTAATACATCAGGCACAGCAACCTGCAGCAATTTAGGAGCCAGGAAAAAGAAGTCAGCTTGTTGGGCCAGGAAGGAACTCTGCTTTCATTCAGATGTACAGAGAGGGAACTAAAAATGGGCTCATCTGGTGGACACTTGCATACACTCAAAATATTCATGAAACCCTCTTATTGCTTTTGAATGCTGGCCTGTGGAAATAATGCAAACCATATATTTACACAACTTGCCTGCAGTCATTATGTGCCTACTTGTCATAGTAATGAATAGCAGGGAGCTCAACAAAATTGAAAGCCTCAAGCCAGAAAGCAGCTCCACTGGATTATGCTTGAATATTTCACCAGCTGCTGCTCACACGTTGGAAGACCATAAACGCTAGACACTTGTTTCTTAGCCTGATCCTCCTTGAAAGCCACAACATTCTGGTCATGTCATCCCAAAGACATGAGTCCCAAAAGGAATTGGGCCCATAGAAGAACACAGGCAGTGTTGGAGGCACTGGCAACATCTGCAACTCCTTTCAGCAGTTTAGTGGCCAGACCACTTTATCCAGATTGCTAAGAATGAATGGCATGCTGGAATTCTAGAACAAATCTGACATGACATCCATTCCAGCCAGTTCTATCCCCCAAGCTAGGATAGGATACTGATAGGCTGGAGAGCTTTCAGGGGCATGTTACTGGGATGCTGAAAGGAGTCCTAGGGTGCAAATCCAACTTAAGAAATAGGAAGAGCGGAAGAGCCTTTCCTGTGTTTGCCCTTCCTAATTTGATGTCCTTCGTGTCACTGGTAACATTTATTACCATCAACAGATCCAACCTATTAGCTTAGTATTGGCTATGTTGGCTCTCTATCGTTTTTGGCAGGAATGTTTTTCCTGAGGACTGAATGCAATATTTATGTTCTGCCCCAATTCATCAATACAAAAGCTAGAACACGGAACTGGAACACTCAGAAAAGCAGGTAAACAATGGCCTTTTGTTGCAAAAGCTTAGATGGCTGTAATGCCTTCCTCTAGCAAGCGGGCTTCCTTGACACTCTGCTAAGCTCCAGGAAACCAAATTAATTGCTAAGCAGTGACAGGTTTATTTATTACTTTTGTTACCAAGGCAACATCTTCCCGGATCTTCCTTTTGCTGGAAGAGGCACGAGTGTGCTTTGCTATTGCCAGGGCGTGTTAAAAGGATTTTGGGATGGGGACAGGGTAGGTGATCCCCATCCCCATCTTTTTATTTTCATGTTACTTGTAAATTTCTGTTCATTATTTTTTTTAACAAAATTGCAGTTCGCCTCAATAAAGCAAAATATTAAAACGGCAAAAACCAGCTCGTATTAAAAAAAAAAAATCAAGCAGGACCGTTGTAAGTTTAAAGGAAGGGAATGAAAGCAACAGCACGAAAGCCCATCTGAGAGAGTCTTTTTTTTTCTGCATACTCTTGCAAGAACAAAAGTGGGGACATGCCCACATGCATTGCTTTTAGAGAAAGTTACAACCATGGTGGGACTAACCATCTAAGGCTGTGCTTCTGGCAAAGCCAAGTCCCCACTGCAGAAGGTGAGCCTTGGATAGGAGTTCACCAGAAGCCTTTTAACAGCAGAGAAGAAGTGAAGAAGGATGCCCTGAGACAGAACGGGTCTAATTTTTGAGACTTCCTAGACTGGCAAACTTTCCTAGGGCTGAGAAAAAGTGAGTGGCTCAAAGTCATCCAGCTGCCTTTGTGCGTAAGGTTAGACTAGTACTCAACCTCTCCCAGTTTCTAGACTGAAGTCTTAACCAGCGCACCAAACTGGCTAGTGGTTAAGATACCAGACTAGACATCGGGGGAGAAGAAAGGGGGCTGTGAGTTCTAGTCCTGCTGGGTGGCACAAAGCAAGCTGCGTAACCTTGAGCCAGTCTCTTTCTCTCCTAGGAGGGAAGCCAAGAAAAACACTTCTGAAAAACCTTGCCAAGAAAACTGCAGGGACAATTCCAGGCAGTTGCCAGCAGTTGAGACTGACTCAAAGGCTATCACACTCCGAAAACAAAATAAAAAACAAAACCTACCCCCAAGTTTCAGTTAGTATACTAATGGAAACTATAATCCAACACTCTAAGAAGGCACAGAAGACTGAAGTAGATAAAATAAATACTTTGACATTCCTAAATAGCTTAACTTCATTTTCCCTTCTTAAGCAATTTTCTATTATTGGTTAGTGGAAGCTTCCCAAAGCTTGGGAAAAGCTTTGGCATGTTCCAATATTAAAGCATGCACAACCAATAAAATAAAAAAGTAAAATTCAGATAAAAGTTTTAAAAACCCAGCTGTTTAAAGCAAGGATCAGCAGCAACGTAAAACTTTGCATTGTGGGTGCAAAAGCTTGATTTTAAAGGAATTTAAAATAAAATTAGAAATAAAACCTGTCAAAATCTCACAAATATTGAGACATCTGAAATTTATTGCAATCAATATCTCTCTTTTACCCTTCCTATTGTATTTATCATTATATATTTTGCATAATAATGACTAAAGATTTCAAAAAGTCACTAGGAGTTGAAATGCTTTGGCAAAAAATCCCTTATTCAACTTTAAGTTGGAGAATAAATCCATGACCCTGGCCAAACTCCAGCCAAATCCAAGAACTTTAAAATCTCCCCAGATTTCAATTAACTAAGAGAGAGTGAAGCATCTGCTTTGGTTCTTCTCTTAAAATGTGGGGTTTTAAAGGTTACGCAGCTTTAAGCAGGATTTTGTCATTTTATCATTTTAAAGATGATAGGAATATCTCAAATTCTTCCTTTAGCCATTATAGGATAGACAACATTGAAAAAGAGAGTTTTTCTATGTACAGTGCAACTCCTGATTAGGACTCGAGCTGATGATTGTACTTCTCAGCAATAGCTACAAGGCATGTTTTGCCATTACGAAAATATCTGTAATTAATGACAGGTAATTAAACAAGAGCTAGTAGTAATTTGGAGACATGGTTAAATCACTGAGAGGGAAGGAGGAAGGTCTACGCTCATAGATGTCCATCTGATAATCTGAAGTCTACTATGTAGAGTGAAACCATGGCTAATTAATAGAGCATGTCTTTTAAATCTCAAAGCTTTATATTCAGTCCCAGCATCTCCTCAGAGAGTTGGTAGAAGATTTTACTTTCTCCACCTGAAATCCTAAAGGTATTGCTTGATGGTTTGAGTGGGCCCCATCGGCTGGCTGAAACTCATGTTAGCCCATTTCCTAAGGTTCTGGACAATACAATAATATAAACACAGTAAGAGTGAAATATCATTTTGTAAACTGCAATGCAAGTTTTTAAGGATGGATCTAGTGGACAATTCAACATTTCACCTCTAAGCCTTTTGATCATATGTGGGACCAGGCTTCCCTGTTCTGAAGATGCGATGCCCCAACCAATGTCAATTATGCATGCCAGGAAGTTCATTATTTAATGTCTGCGTCTACATACATGACATTTTGCCTCATTAATGAATTGTGATTTAATTATTAAAAACTTGTGGCTTTTTATTTTTACGTTTTATATGCTTTATTTTTCATTGTTGTAAACCATTCTGACCAGTGTTGGGGGTATACATTCATTTTTAAAATTTTAATGTAATTTAAAATTTTATTTTTTTTTAAAAAAAGAAGTTTTATATTACTGGCCTTGGGCACCCAACCCCTAGGATATGTTTTGTTTTGTGATAACCCCTGCCTCAGAGGTTGTACATAGCATCTCCCAAGCAACAGAAACACAATTTCCCACCAATTTTTAGTAGGGAAACAAAAGAAAAACTTTGTACTGCATTTTCAGATATTGTTAATACACATAGGGAAGCCAGGTAATATGGGGAAATAGGGTGCATGCAGTGGTTCAAAGCAGAAAAATATGCCCCGCCCAATTCCATCCTCCTCTCCTTGGTAGCATCATTAAACTACTGTCATGCCTTCTGTGAGATAAAAAAGTAAATATAAATAAAACTTCCCAGTGATGATCTAATTTGAAAAACAGTCCTTAAGAGAAAATCTATGTTTTGCTCTAACATAGGGCATAGTTCCCCAAAAGCTCCTGCTGCCCCTCCAACTTGCCAAACCCACCACATTGGGCGGAAGTTTATGGCCGGGCAAATACTTGACGTTCTCATGCTGTGTGTTGATGATCTCAGTGAGCTTCTGGCCAGCAATCTCTTCTTCAAACACCCACATCTTCACGGTGGTGTCAAACATATCCAGTCTGGCTGCATTGCTGCCCACAATCTTGGCAATTGCTGAACCCCTGCAGCAGGAAGAGAGACAGAGATGCAACCCTCTTCCTTCCTTGGGCTATGTTTTCCCCACGTTCTTCCATCAGGAGACCAGAATTTATAAATATAAATATACAATTTATATTGATATTGTTTCCTTGTTGCTTATTTGTACCCAATGATTATCATTAAGTGTTGTACCTTATGATTCTTGATGAATGTATCTTTTATGTACACTGAGAGCATATGCACCAAGACAAATTCCTTGTTTGTCCAATCACACTTGGCCAATAAAAATTCTATTCTATTCTATTCAGAATTCTAGCAAGGGTCTCAGCTTGGAGAGGACCGTAACATAAAGACCAAACCCCCTGAGATTATTTTCAAAATTCAACTTTTTTTTTGCAACTGGAGGTACCGTTCCATTTAGCAGCCCTTCCAGCTATCCATTTTGGTTGTGGCTGCTGGGAGTTGCAAGTTCTGCAGAGCCTGGGAGGCCCTTGTGCCATAATATGGCTCAAAACAAGCTGGGAATCATGCGGTGGCCAGCTTGAGTGGCTCTTGCGTGGAAAGTCCAATCCTGATTGAAATAACACAACTAAGAAAAAGCAAATATTTCATGAATTGGTGACAATTTGCTTTGGCCATGAACGATGACCCTTAGTCAATAAGTCAGATATCTGATAGGGTGGATTTTAATGTTATAATTATGTGCATTTACTTTTCAGATATCATAAAAGTCTCCATTCTTTTTTGCAGAGCCGTTACACAGGGACAAAACTCCAAGGGCTTAAAACTAAATTAAAAACAGACGCACCAATCCCATTGGATCATCCCTATCAAGGAACTATATAGGGGATTCTGGAAACATATATTTTTACTACTATTGAGAGAAAGAGTTTTCAAGCAGGAGAAGGCACACATTTTTTTTATCTACACCCAAACAGCGGCTGTCTTCACAACTCTCCACATACATATTCTTTGTGTCGATGGGAAAGAAGAATGAGACCAGAGCTGCTGATTGTTTGGTGCTCGAGAGACAGGTTGGATTTAAGTGCTCACCTTCCTCTGTCTCTGCTTACTAAAGAGTGCAGGACCTGAAATTTGGCAGAACTGAAGGGCAATGAAAGACAAACCATTCAGGGAAGAGGCTGATCCAGCTGGACTGCCAGGACTGAACAACTGGCAGAGAGAACACAGCTTGAAAGCAAAGTCAAAGCCACTCAGATGGGACCCTTAGTTCACCCAGATATAGCTAGGTATCTTATGACTTTGAAGGAATCTCGAGAATTTTCTGTTTTACAAACTGTATGGAAAGATTTATTGGTTGGCAATACTACCTGTTCAATAATACACTGTCCTCTCATGAACGACGCTAGTGAAGCCAATGGCTCTGCTGACCCAGGATGAGGGCAGTCGCAACCCAGAAGACCCTTACGTATCTGGAAGGCACTTGGAAGGGTTGGGGGAAAACCAATTCTGCTGGATAGAACTACAAGTCTGCAGAACTACAAGAGCCTGGTGGCGCAGTGGACTAAACTACCGTTAAAGTAGTATTTAGCTGCCAGCTGCCTGCAATTACTGCAAGTTCAATTCTCACCAGGCTCAAGGTTGACTCAGCCTTCCATCCTTCCGAGGTAGGTAAAATGAGGACCCGGATTGTGGGGGCAATAAGCTGACTTTGTATAAAATAGAACACCGCTTAGGGGGCCCCAAAAAGCCCTACTAACTAAGCAGGTATATACAAAAGTACGAAAGCTATTGCTTAAAAGCATTGTAAGCCGCCCTGAGTCTCCGGAGAAGGGCGGCATATAAATCAAACTAATAAATAAATAAATAAATAAATAAATAAATAAATAAGTCTAGAACTTGAATGCATTAACAGTGCAAACGGGAGCTGCCCTGCCTCGAAGCTGTACCTAGAACTTCTTTTTCAGAGAAATGTGAAGAAACGTTGTCCCCTGATCTAATTCAACCCATCAGCATCTCGTAACAAAATGCCTAAAAGCCAAGGCAGACGCCTTAGCAGAGAAAAGAAAACCCAAAACTCCGGTTACGTGCTTTATGTTCCCGCAACCACGGGAATCAGAGAGCAGCCCTTGCTCCGTGTGCCCCGTAATTCGAGCTGCTTAAGACACCTGCAGCCTGCCTCTCTCAAGACGGTTATTGGGGGGCTACCAGCTCCCCTTCCCGCAGGCGAGAGAGAAAGAGAGAGAGAGGGAGTCCCAGGGGCGCCATCTCTCTGAAACGCGACGGGTCGGCAAAGCGAGCCTGCGCTCCTTTGGTGGCACACTCAAGACAAACGTCACCAGCGTCCGCTTCACCAGGTTGCATGAATGCTAATCCGCGAAAGCCGATTACGCCCAGAAGAAACGCGGCCACCCTCAAGGCGCCACAGAACTCTTCGCCGCTCTCGCGATCCAAGTTTACGACGGCCCCCAGCCAAAATCCCAACCCTTCCCCCCGCCTTCCTTTTCTGAACCCGCTGCTCTCTCTCTCTCTCTCTCTCTCTCTCTCTTCTCCCCGCCCCTTCCCTTGTTCGCGCCCGGCCCGGCCGCCCCAACGCACCAGTTGCCGGAGCCCACGATGCAAACTTTCTTTCCGCCCATGGCCGTGAGCGATGAATTCCCAGCCGCGGCAGCCGCGCTCCTGCCTCGGCGGGCATTATAACCCCTCGGCTGGCCGGCCCCGCCCTCCGCCCACCAGCTCTTCCCCCAAACGGCGCTCAGGCGGGGGATAGGTCGCCGAGAGGTGCGCGCTGAGGCTCTGCTGAAGGCCGCCCGCTCTCGCCAAGCACCGCCGTTAAAGCCCCTTCCCTATTCCTCCACCCACCCACCCCCATGTTTAGGCAAAACGGCCGGGAGACAGGCAGGGCAACACGTCGGCGAAGGAGTTTTCCCGCACCTTCCAAGTCAGTCTCACAGGTGGGACCCCACAGCGGAGCCGTCCGGGGGCTTCGGAACGGGGAGCCCCTCACTTTTTCAGGTTCATTCCGCGTCTGTGTGCTTTCCCCCCTCCCCACTCCTGTCACCCCGGCCCCTGCCCAGCGCTCGTCTCCAGGTGGGGGCAAAAAGGCAAGCATTTGGTTAGTTTCGGGGAATCTCACGCAGAGGAGGTAAAATAAAAGCTGCTCTAAATAGCCAGGGACGAGACTGCATTCCTGCGGTGTGAACGTATTTAAGAGGAAGCGGACGTCATCGTATTGGCTACTGTATTAGTAAATGCTAATTACTGTAAAAGTAAATTTGGTTACTTCTGGGCGTGTGTGTGTGTGTGTGTCCAGTCTCGACAGGTTTTTGCAATGTCCCGCCCTCCCGGCTAAAGAAACGGTCCTGCGGCTGTACATCTCAAACCCTAGTTTCTCCCTGTGAAAATAACTTTTCGGGGCGCTCCTTGCTGGGGACAGGATGGGGTGGGAGCTTAATCAGAGCCACTCCGGGGCTGCTGTATAAAATCTGCCAAAAAAACAAAACAAACAAACATTGCCAATACAAGCAAGGAGAAATGTGGGGAAAAAAGGATGTTGTGGCTTAAATGCTGCCCCCCCCCACCAAAAAAAATATATGGTGTTCCAAATCCAATGACAAGATTTAGGATTGAGTGATGTTTTTGAGCATGGTTAGAGTTCATTGTGGCTCTTGTTGAATCATGTTAACAGGACAGGATAACAAGACAGGCCTGTGGGATCTCTGACTTGCTTTTAAGCAAATGTTTTTATATTTGCCTCTTCTTTCTCTTTCAAAGTGGCCCACTGTATTCCATGGCAAGAGGCTTCATGGATTGCTTTTCAGAACTGCCAATTCTGTCATCCTTCAATTAAGTATTAGGGCTATGGGACAATCGAAGCCAAAGAGAGCCCTTCTAACATTGTGTTCATATTTCATCAAACCCCAGGGCACTGAGGCCAAGGTTCAGAATATCACACGATAGCAAGTTCAGAAGTGAGCCCTCTTTCATTCTTCATTTGCATGTTGTTGAAATCCTATGTCTTAGTTTCCTATGTAAAGAGAGAGAGGCTCTACTCGGATAATCATGTTGGAAAAAAAAAAGATACTGAAACAATTCAGTTCAGTGGCACAGATCAAGATTATTTTCCACATGAGGAAGATAACTCCTTACCAGGGCCATAACCATAAATTCCTGTCTGAAATGACATTTGAAAGTAGCATAGAGGCCCATGGGTTTGGCAGCTTGCCAGCTACAAAATTGCATCCCGGATTCTGCCTTTCTGGCCATGCTAGTTTAATGGATTAAACAAAAAAAAAATTGTTCACATGCTGTGCAGCCAGTAAATCTGCTCTATGCAGAGCACAAAAGTCCATCAAGCTGCAATCTTATGTACACCTACTAAGGACTCAGTGGAGCATGCTCCTAAATAAGCCAACAAAGGACAGCATTGCCAGTTGGCCATCTGCTTTGCAAAATTAAAAGAAGTACCAGCCAGGGTTTGGAAGGGGAAGAGGTGGCCACAAGGAGGATCTGGTGCCTAGAAACCATTTTTTAAGACAGACAGGAGAAATTATCCTAGTCAGTTAATGATAATATAAAGTTGGAAATATTACAGAAAGACTCCATAGGGCAGTGTTTCCCAAACTTTTCCCTTACATTACCCAATCAGAAAGTCCTTTTTACTCAGTGTAACTAAAAAAAACCCTTTAAATCAGTTTAAATGTTCCTGTTATGATTGGGTAATGGGCTTGTGTGTCGCTATCCAGAGAAGAAAACAATTAGCCCAGGTCTGAGAAGCAGAGCCTTAGGGGGGAAAAAACACATAAACATTCCTTTGAGATAAAAAAAAAAAAGCAACAGCAGTAGCAAATAAAACACACAAGATTTGTAGTCTAGATTTGGGGCCAAAATTAGCAAATACTAATATGAGGATGGGATTGGCCCTTACTATTAACAGGAAGGAGCCAAGCTGTGGCTCTACAGTTGCTTCACTGAAGATGTGCAGCTCTCAGGAGACAATGCCATTCTGAAGGATCCACCAATAGTGTCCTGATATGGCCACAGTGCCTTGGCTGCCCAGGTAGTTTCCAGGGTCACTTTCTAGGGTCATCATTCTGAGCCCACTTTCTGGGTGATGCTTATAGGGCTGCAAGTTAATTGTTCTCCTGGCAGGTCAGTGGGAAACAGCACTACCACTACTAGGGAGTATGTGCGTGCGTGTGTGTGTGTGTGTGTGTCTGAGTGTCATGTTCTCTCATCAGGGCAACAACCTCCCTTAGATACAACCTGATCTTAATAAAATGTGCCTTTGAGTTAGTTTTAATTCCTGGCACCTACCTGGAAACATTCCTGCAATTTTCTTGACTAGTTTGGAAGTGTTCCTCCCTTGCCTCTTTCCCAGGGCTAAGAAAGAGGGATTGGTCCAAGGTCACTCAGCAGACCTTGGGCCTAAGGAGGATTAGAACTCACTGTGTCCTGCTTTCCAGCCTGGTGTCTTAACCACTAATCAAAGTGGTGTAAACCAGGCATGTTAAAATGACCATGAGAAAATAAAGTGAGTGAATGCAATAGATCTGTTACAGCTATTAGATTCAAGTTACAAAAATTGAGGCTACAACTACACGGTAGCTTTGAGAAAGGGGAAACTCCAATTTTTTACTGCTATCTAGATTTTTGCAGGGTAGTCTAGGATTAATGGTGTCAGCAATTGCATTCAAACTTCACACTAAGCCATAGTTTGTTGATCAGTCTCACAAGTGAGCAGTTGTTTGGCTGGTTCCTGGTTTTCACTACTCTTGTTCTGCATCTCTCTGGTTTGACTGGCACCAAAACCCAAACATAAATTCCAAAGCATTACAGACCATGCGCTCCTGATTGCCACATGATTTCAAACTGTGTTCAGTTTGAAAACCATCCATTGTCATCCACTGACCTGTTGTACACCATGCAACATATTGGATTTTTTATTTACATAATTAACGTATTAACTTCTGTTTTTGTTGCTCCAAGGCTATTTCATGATGCAATTTGCTTATTCCTTCTCCTTTCCCATTCCTTGTTTCTGTGGCACACCCAGGCTTAACTATATACAGGCAAATTAGATTACTGCAAAACCCTGGGATCATAGAACACGCACCTTGAGATAAATATGAATTTGTGATAGTAATTGTTCATTTGATGGGCATTTTAAACAGATTGTTTAAAAAGCTAACTTTCCTAGTTGTCTGAAATGGGAAGTTCCATGCCATTCTATCGCCTCTCTTCCCTGGTTCTGGTGCATCTACAGATCAACATTTTGAGTACAGGTAGTCCTCAACGTATGACAATTGAGCCCAGAATATCTGTGGCTAAGTGAAACATTTGTGTGTTTTGCCCTATTTTCTTGCCTACAGTTGGTAAATTGGTAACATGGTTGTTAAGTGAAACTGGTTTCCTCATTGCCTGTCAGGTCGCAAAAGGTGATCACATGACCCAGGGATGTTGCAACTGTCATTAGTTGCCAAGCTTCTGAATTCTGATCATGTGACCATGGGAATGCTACAATGGTTGTTAAGTGTGAAAAATGGTCATGTCACTTTTTTCAGTGCCACTGTTAACTTTGAACGGCCACTAAATGAACTGTTAAATCGAGGCTACCTGTATCTAAAAAGATCCCATTTTACTATAAAAATGACGGACAGAAATGTGCGAGGGCTGTATTTAATACTCATTCTTGTCTGATCCTGGCTCCAACCCAGATTCTCTTACAGCTCAAATTTGGCAATTTTTTTTTTTTTAATTCTTCCTGCTCGGTTTCTGTGTGATCCTGTCTCATTTTTAGTGGTCTTCAGTTTTAGCTCCTACAGGCAAGTTTTATATAGCTGGGTTTATTGTAACTCATTCTGAATGACTATAAAAAGAATGAACACACTTTTTCTTCTGCACCTTATCTGCCTCTCCTGAAATTTAGCTCATAAGCTCTCTAAATAAAGATCTATTTCTTTTTTACTCTTGTGAAAAGATTGGTACAGTACGTCATGATTATAGCAATTTTTGACTGTTGATGTAAGGAAACGCTTTTCAGTTTGGCTCTGCAATCCCCTTCCTTGAAAAACCCAGAAACCCCTTTTCACAGTTATCAAATTTTAGTGGCACTGTTATATAAAAATAAATAAATTTCCTGCAGTGAAGCAAGCATTATATAAGTCCTAATATAGCACAAACTATTTTCAAAATAAAAGACCCCCCTCTTCCAAACCCCAGGAAAAAAAATTCCAACCCTACTGCATGTAAAGTAACTCTGGCTGCTTTACTTTCTCCTCAATATTAACTGTGATCCAGGATATCAAAAGATTGCTCATCATTATACTGATTATCTCTCGCTATTGCACACACTCTCCAAATATTTTGATGCTTAAGCTGGCACACAGAGGCAGAGTTTTCTTACGCTGAAGTTTTTTCCCTTCAGGCCAATGAAAGTGCTTTCCTCTATCTAGCCTTTTTTGGCCATCAGTATTAAGTTTGAAGGATTAAAAAAAAAGGTTATTTTCTTAGGATATATAGTTTCCTCCTGAAAGTATTAAAAAAAGACAGTGCTGTATTACAAAAGGACGGAGAGAGCAAATACTTTCATTCAGAGGCAGCTTTTATTAAAATGGGGTGACATCTAAAAGGATACAGTACAAAAAAAATTGGTCCAAGGGGGAAAAGGGGGAAGAAGAGAAAACCACAGAATGCAAAGCATAAGGAGCAATTTAAGAAGTCTGCAAAGACAGCTGATCTCAGAGTTTACTTCACGTATACTTGCCCTGAGAGCCACCTAAGGAACCAGGGTTCTTATTCTCCAGGATCACAAAGCAAGGAGGGGCAGAAGGGCAGGGTGCCTTTCGTAGGGCAAATACAAGATTGAAGAATCAGAATCTCTCACTCCGAAGGTGGACATATGAACGCACACACACGGATTAGGGTTCCTGAATTCAGAGCAGTCCCTAGCCCCATTTTCAACATGGAAGAGGATGGGACTTGTCAGTAACTTGATTCTTGCAGATAGTGTCAGAATAGAAGCAGCTGGGACCTGTCCAGCTGCATTACAGTTTCCAAAACCAGCCAGCAGAAAGATGCAACAGCATCTCCACCCAGTCCTACCAATAGGTGCCCAAGACTAAGAAAACCCAGACTAGAATGGAAATGTCTTTTTAGCACACCGACATCTGCTTCGCTGTGCCTTGGTTACACCTGCTTGCATAACTCTGCTCCCCACCTTTTAATTTGCTCCAGAAACCTGCTCTGTGCAGTCAGGTGAGGAAGTCAAAAGGAGAATAACTCTAGTCTGAAGGAAACTAGTCTCCTTCCAAGCACTGTAGATACAAAGAATTAGTGCTGGGGAGTGAGGGGAGGGGGAGGATAGAAGAAGAGTTAAGGAGTTGGATTAGAAAGGCTTTCTTCCCCAGAAGGCAGTGACTTGGGATATTCACTGTGACCAAGAAGGTGGCCTATGACTACCTGGCACCTCTGCCAGTAATTTCCTCCCCTTAAAAAAAAAACAAAAACCAGAATCAGACACCCACGCTGGAACAAAGATTGTGACCCTGGATTGCAGCTCCCTGAAGGGCACGTGTAGGAAGAGTCTAATCCTTCCCAAAAGATGGACCTGTATTGGACTTCCCACCCACCTGTCCCCAGGAGAAGCCAGAAAATGTAAGAAACCTGCCTTGAATTTGGGCCCTGCTGTGCACAGAAACTGCCCAGCCGACTGTTCTGGGGGAAGAGGGAGGAAGAGTTCCTGGGCTGCCACGCTAGACTCTGAATGGAAGCTGAATGGAAGTCTGGAAGAACTTCAGGCAGAGCTGGACCTTGGGAGTGTGGTGCTCAAAAAGAAAGGAGAGCCAGGCTGAAATGCAAGACCTTGGCCTGGGTACCAACATCATCATCCCCAATGATGAGTCCATTGGATCAGTGGAAAGAAAAGACGTTGGTTGGAAATTAGTGGAAGGTTCTGTGCTGGAATAGGAATTGTATAGGCCTGAGCAGTGAATCCCTGCAGTGTTTCTAGCCGTTAAGAGATGCTGCCTGTTGGGAGGCCTGCCCGTTTAGGTATTGCGGATTCCCAGAGCTTGTTCAAGTTCTTGCCTTCTCTGCTGAACCTGTGAAAAAAGCAAGACAGACGTATCTTTATGCACAGGTTAAAAAAAAAAAAAAAGAACAGAACTGCCTCTGGTATTTTCAAGCATCGGGAACAAGCATTAGGCTGCGAGCCAGAAGCTCAAGTCAAGCCTTCCCCAACTTGCAACCCAGCACTTTCCGAATTTATGACAATCACCCCCGCTGTTCACAGCCCACTCAGCCAAGGATTGGTGCTGCAGGACCAGACGTTTGGAAGCCTGCTTTAGTCTGAGGCAAGGGTTAGGAGCAGGAAGGGGTGCTTTTCGACTCTTTGACTCCATTTGATATTCAGTTTGAAGAAACAGAAAAGGGAAATCTGCCCACCAGTCAGCAGGACTGAAGGATCTTGACCGAGCTGCTGGGTCCCATTCCAGAGATCCCATTTGCAAGAGATCCCACTGGATGGATCTATTTTACCTTAGAGTAGAAATATCTGCATACAGCCTCTTGGGCCCAGGGCTGGAAGTAAAATTCAGCTCGGCGTTCTTCTTCTGGGTTCCCAACGACATCCGTCATAGCCTGAAGGTGAGCAAAGTCTCCAATTACTCATCTTGCTCTCCCTGAAATACCTGTCTTGGCTCTCAGTTCTATCCCTCTGGCAGATGGTGTGCTGTTTTGTTCTTTTAAAAAAAAAACTGAAGACACAGCAAGGATTCTCTTTCTCTCTCTCTCTCACACACACACACACCATGTCTGTTTTCTCCTCAAAGGCGTCTCACCTTCAGGTCTCGACACTGGGACTGCAGCCAGTCATTGATGAAACCCTGGGGATCTCTGGCAAAGCTCAGCATAAATTCACGCTGGGTCTTTAACTGGTTAATGGTTTCTATGGTCTCATGGATCTGAGATGAAAAAATACCGCACAAATACATTTGAAAAAGAATAGGGTTATACTCTACTGAAGTGGGTTACCGGGTGCAGGCACAGGGACTGGTTTAAATAGTTAGTTCTGGAAAATGCACATGAAGTAAGACTACAATACATCCCAAGTCCTTCCCCCTCCATTTATTTAGTCTCTTGTACTTTTACAAATCAAAGTACATCTACATCTACTCATGAGCCGTGGTGGCGCAGTGGTTAGAATGCAGTATTGCAGGCTAACTCACTGCCAGGAGTTCGAATCTCACCGGCTCAAGGTTGACTCAGCCTTCCATCCTTCTGAGGTTGGTAAAATGAGGACCCAGATTGTTGGGGGCAACAGGCTGTAAATCCTGTAAACCGCTTAGAGAGGGCTGTAAAAGCACTATGAAGCAATATATAAGTCTAAGTGCTATTGCTATTGCTACTTCAGAGATACAAACTTCTATGGTTAGACTGTAACTCTTGACATGGAGTCAACCAGCCTCTTTAGTCCCAACCTTCTTTCCTTCCTTGTATTAATGCAACCACTAGACCATACTGTTCTTTAGCTTTATATTTTCAAGAGCGAAATAACTTTTAATACCATCTCGTGGCAATTTTTCCTTGATCAGTAAAAGTATACACATTATCATAAATATATGGTTTCAGTTTCATAACCGAAAAACGCAGAATACTTTAAAACTATTACCCAGAAGTGGAATGACATGAGAGCTATGATTTTATGCATCTATACAAGGCAATTGTCCTATATTAACAGTGAGACATGTTCACAGTTTATGCAACAGAATTTCAAACCCAGGGGATATCCAGGTTAAGAAAAAAGGGCTTTATGGCTAGAATACTACAGGGCCAACCCAAATATGTCACATTCTCCCTTCCTTATAAGCTCTTTCTGTTCTGGATAAAGGAGTGGATGTTTCAACTGTTGCCTGGAGTCAAAATCCTACAGCTAGGAATCTGCTTCATTTCATCTTTCAATGCCTGTCACTGGGCAATCTTCCCAGAGGCAATGAAAAGCTCACTGCCAGCCGCTAACCAGAGAAAGCCAGGTTAATCTGTACGTCCGCTACAAAACTGTGAAAAAAACAAGGCATCTTCCTGGCAGCATTTGAATATTCTAACAGCCATACATCCAACAGCTTTTAATATTAACATTTACTATATACATACCTATGACCTAACTTTCACAGGCTACACTGAGAATATAACAAAAAAATTCTATGTTCCTACTGCTGTCCACAAAAAAGATGCCAATTTCTGCTGTATACTTCCCTTGGAGGCAAAGTCCACTGAAGGCAACAGATGTGCTCTGAGGAGACCTATATAGGGCCAAATTTCATATTATAGGAAGGGAAAGAAAAACTACAACCAAACCAAAATTCACAAAGGCCTATTCTTGATTTTTTGGGTAAATTACCAAACATTTTAACCAAACCTTGGTATTATTTGCTACTTTAATGGATTGTAATGATTTAAGGAACTGAAGTAACATCTAACCACACAGTTAAGACTGGGTAGGGGAGAGGAAGTATTAATTCTCAGATGTCCCTCACAGAGAAAGATTAGCAAAAAAAAAAAAAAAAAAAAAAAATCATTTCCAGGAAGTCGCACCTTGTTATCCAGTGCAGCTATCTCTTGCTGGCTGGCTGTAGAAAGCAGGAAAGAATTCATTTGGGTTTTCAAAGTATCATCTACTTCTACATCAATGTCATAGCAAGCAGTTTTCTTCTGATCGTTTGGATCAACACTGGGAAGCAAGAGAAGAGAGAAAATGTTAGATTTAGAGCTTGGTTCAATAAAGCATCCCCCTCCCCCCCAACACAAGAGCATGTGGGGCAACGGTGTAATTTTTCTTAATGTAGAGGTTTCAACTTTTGATAGTTCTTCGCTGCTTTCAAAATCTCTATCCATGGCCAAATGTCTGGCCAGATAATTACTTTCGCCTCTTCCCTTTCTTAAAAGTGATCCAAAATGTTTCCATTTCTGGCAACATTTGAATAGTTTGTTACATAACTATTTTGGGAACACTAAAATAATTAAAAGTGAATCACACTTTAAAATTCTAGCCTGTGATATAACTCACAGCAGGAAGTAATACTGAAAATAGGAAGCATGCACTGGAACAGTTGTTTGCACGCTGCAAGAGTCAGCAGAGCTGAAAGGATATTTCATGAGTTTGTGGTTCAGCCTTAAGTCATCACGTCAAGTGCCTCCCCCCACCTCCCGTCTTACCTGATGACATGGTTAATGATAATGGGCTCTGGAGGCATAAGCAATGCATGAAGCCGCTGTGGGATCTCTGAGAACTTCATTCGCTGAGACTCGAATATCTGTATGTTCAAAGAGGAATTCACTGAGAAAGAGCCAAGCTTCAGCATGACAGCAAGGACTGGGGTCTGTACCCTTCCTTTTACCTGCTGGAGGTACTTATCACAGATGACATACTCCCGCTCATGGGGGTCCTGCAGCTTGTGAGTCTTGATGTATTGCCACAGAGCTTGGATGATCACTGGGCGGGTCTGGGTGTGAATTCCCAAGAGGCGAGCCAAACGTGGGTCTAGTTTGAACTGTGGAGGCTGCAAAGAGATGGTAAAAACTAATTTTAGGGTTTTAATATCCCACCTTCCTTATGCTGATCTATGGCTTTAATAAAGATTTTGATTTGAGGTACAATCTGAATCCAGTGTCATGGAGAAAAATTCCTCCCCTTTGGCCCTCGGGAGGAAGGCCCCCTACCTGGTAGTCTAACATCAGGAGGACAGTGCAGCGCACATTCACATCACCAGGCCTTTTCACCTGGAACCCATCGGTCTCTTGGGTTGTAGCAGTCCTATGCCACTAGGAGGGAAAGAGTACAAAAAGAAGGGGAAGTAGGAAAAAGGAAAAGGCACTCCACGAGCAAACAAAACAGTGTGAGAACCAATACTGCATATAGGGGATGGATTCCGATCCATGAAATAAAAATTTGGAACAGGTAAACACGGAACCCTATGATGAAAAGCACTCAGGAAAGAGGGAAGCTGACATCCCAATGTATTGCCTTGAGTCTCTTTCAAAGGGAGAACAAGATAAAGAGGAATATTGGAAGATCTGCATGAACATAAATGGCTGTTTAAAATATGTGATCTTCTTTGCTCTGTATGAGAAATGCGCAACTTGAGGCCAAATCCAGCATGCAGGTCCCTAAATTTTATCCCTCCCTGAGAAACACCGCCCCCCCCCCCCAAAGATGCTATCAAACTATACATTTAAATGTTGCTAGAAAAATATTAAATATATAACTGGAAAACTATCTTATTCACAATTTAATTTTAAACGTAAATATTAAAAAATAGTCTTTGTCCCCTCTCCCCCACATTTTTCTTGTCAGAATATCTGGGGGCAAGAAATACTGCACAACTCTTCTATAATGTATGAAACCTCTCACCTCCACCAAGTGATTATCTGGGCCATAGAGATCTTTGTCCAGCTCAATCACCAGAGATTTAAAAAAGGATGAGAACTTTCTCTTCTGCTTGGTAGCATCATACTTAGAGAGAGCAGACTGCAGGATGAAAAAACGGGAAGAAAAATTCTTTTATAGATAACAATACCAATAGCCAACAGACATACTGTAGTTACCAACAGCATTGAAATCTCAGAAAGTAAAACTGTGAACTATCACAGTGATTTTTCTCTAGGGGAATATATAACATTATATCTAACACTGATCATCATTTTGCATATATTTCTAACATCTTATATGCCCAATTTCCCCTGCCATAGACCCTTTCTACAATAATGAAGGGCCAAATAAGATTGCTTACATCTTTCCTTATTTCAAAAAATTAGATGTCCTTCACTTTATCAATTGCACTCCGATTACCTGCAAACTTCAGAATAATGTGGGAGTTTTCTGAAGAGAAGAAGGATCAGGCCATCCAAAGCTTAAACACCAATAGGGTTTAAGAGTAGTGCCTGGGAAAACTCTTACATCTAATCTCTCTACCACAATGAAACTCCAATCAGCAGAAGAATGCAATATTTAAGTGTACAAAGCAAAGAGCACCTTTACTGCAGAGAGGTCTAATTTGTGGAATTGCTCATTTCAGAAAATTTGTCCAAAAAGGTTTCTTTGGCCATTCTCTTACACTTGCCTAACTAAAGCCTGTACTGTTCTCTCTCCATCTTATCTAGTTCTAAAACCATCAGGAATGAATAATTCAGCTCTGCCACATTTCTAAACTCTCTACAGGAATACGTGGTGATGTTAATTCCATTCCTCACTCACATCTTCCAATAGTCGTCCTTCCACTCGGAGTTCCCATGAGGCTACGGTGCCTTCTCCATCTTCTGCATCTGACTTGGCTGGATTAAAGGTATTGGAGATAAAAATGCGTAGTTTTCTTTTTTGCTAAAAAGGAACAGAATCCCATAGATGTGAAAACGAGAATCAACATTTTAGATTGCTAGTATCATTCCCTCACCCTCCCAATCAGCAGTATTTGTATCCTCACAAATCTCTGCATGTGAGCAAGATACATATCTTTCTAAGGTAATTCTACAACATGAAGATGTCCAGGAAGAAGCAACAGAGAAACAATGCCTAGGACTTAACAGAAATCACTAAGTTTGGGTCAGGAAGTTAAAGACACTACGCTGTACATCAAAAAAAAAAAAAAAAGCTTTTGCAGGCCATCTGTCGGGAACTGCATGCTAATAACAGATGGGCTGAAAACCACAGAGGGATGTGTGTGTGTGTGCGTGTGATTCCTTCTTTTTGCTTTCTTTGCTTCCTAACTGCCCACAAGACAGATTGAAGGATAGTTCACTCTCTTCAAAAGTCTGAAGTAATTGCTTCCAAAGGTCTTTTAAGGTAAAACAAGGGACTGCAGGTGATCTTAAGGCTGCTAATTACCCAGATATAAGAGAGAAGTTGTACTGGGGTTAAGGGAAAAAGATATTAAATAATAAAAGGCTAAGAGGGGAAGTAATTCAGAAAACAGATAGAAAAGAAGCTATGAATGCATCAGAAAATAGCAGTTTAGTAAAATTAAAGTATCAGAGATCTATGCACCTCGTGTTTGTAGCAGCCACAACCTATTCAGTAGAAGCAGCTGAGTCAGAGGAAGCCTAAAAGTTGCTACACGTTTTTCTGCCTGTTTTGTGAAACCTAACTGGTTACTGCTATCTGCAAAAGTATGAAGCAAAAAACTTGCTACTTTTGCAGATATAGATTATGCTGGAGAATAATGAAGAACCTTGACATGCCTATTGTTGGGCCTCTGTAGCAGCAAGCTGCATACTGGCAGAATAATAAACTTCTCTGGGCCATAAAACAAATTACTTCAGTGGCGCACTGTAGAAGCTGATCACCTCCTCCAGGCTGCAGCTATGGAGGATGGATGGGAGAAAAGAAGGAAGTATCTCCCAGATGTTTCTTTCTGCTATCACAGCCCATACCCTGTGATGCATGGCTTCCCTCTCAGCACTTCAACATGAAGTATCCCTTCCCCAATGGTAGTGGAGGTGGCAGTGGTGCTGAGGCCACGGCTGCCTCAGGAGATGGGATAGTAGTTACAGTAGCTTTTCACTCCCACTTTCCTCCTGCAACACTCACTATGACTATTGGTTTCATGTGATTATATACATTTTTAAAAAAAGACTGAAGACCTGGGGTAAAAGGAGTGCAGGGCCCCATCGCTGCCACCACTCTGCCTTCACTATTCATATGTCCCTAGTTCACATACCACGTAAATCATGCGATCTGTTGATCTTGGTATGGTGAACCCACATTTGTGATCTGTAAGATTGTATCTTAGGTGTATTGTGTAAATTAGGGATATGCAAAACATTCTGTCATGCAACATTTCAATCCCCAACTGGACTATTAAAATGGGACGGTTTGGAATATTCTGGAAGTATGTTGCACATTTGGAATCCTTTTTAGATTCAGAGCATTTCATAATGAACCCAAGTATTGTGGTTCATTCAATCAATAAGTTAAAACCTAACCAATGATGCTAGGGTGACGTGTGAATGTAGCCAGAAGATTTATTTAGTTTTTAAGAAAAGCTACAGATAAGTGAGTTTCAAACATATGCACTTTTCCTCCTTACCTTAATTGGCCTTTTCAAAGCCTCCTGAATATCCAATCGTTTCCGCATAATAGTCTGGTCCAGCTTCCTCTCAAATGCCAACAAATCCATGTATGCCTGAGACTCGGGTACTAATTCCCGGATCTAGAATTCAATGCAGTCACAGTCAATCAGCACAGCCATTATACTACTGGTAACTGCCAGACCAAACATCCAAAATTTCACTCACCCGCTGAGGTAGAATTTTGTCTGCCATCTTTTTTTTCTTGGCACTGCACAAAGACAGAAAGATTGGATGATAAATATCAATTCTTGATACATGTTTCAGAACATCCTTGTTGATTTTGTATCAAAGAAAAATTCTGCTGAAAGTAAGATTGTTTTAGGCACACAGGAAAACAGATGTATTTGGGATTGTATTTTTTTTGCCATACTGGGAAAAGCTTTTTTGAAGAAGTCAATATTAGGAACCTTAAGCATACCAACACAGATGGCTCCATTGATTTCATTGGGACATGCTCTTTAAGAAATATGTGTAGAACTACAGAATTTGGATAGTATGTTAATAAAGGAAATCATTCTACATCTGTATAGTGCAGAGGCTTAACATGTCTTCAACACACCAAGATCTGCGAGTGACAGAAAACACTAACAGATGACTGTGTTATTTTGGATCTCAAATTAAGTAACACAATGCAGTACATCTGTACAAACCACATGAAATACAGAGAGGGCTCTGTGCAAATACCTAACCAAATGCTAGCTCTGAAGAATTATAGTATGAGTAGGTTGTTCAGGATGAAGAGGGGAAGGAATTATATCAATATACTGATATTTAGATTGCATTAAACTGCTTTCAGTTTCTTTAGCTTGATGAAAGGAATGTGAACCAGCATTGCTGGAAGATTGCTTAAAAATGTCTGTCAGTATGGATGCAGCTGAAACCCCTTTTTATACATTGCATTTCTCATTTAAGTTGTCTTTAATGAGAACTCTCTAATTTTATTTGCAGAATTCAACACAGCTAAGGATATCTCAAAGGCGATACAGTGGTACTTTGGTACTCATTGCTAATTGGGTCTGGGACGCACGATGAGTACCAAAAACAACGAATACTAAATGAATTATTTCCATAAGGACTAATGTATTGAGGCAGCCGACATCAACAAGTTCTAGCTTGTGAGTTGAGTACGAAACAAACAATGAGTACCAGGACAAAATTTTTGTATCAAAATGCACTGAGTAACAAATTCTGTGAGTTTTAAAGCAGTTGAGAACCAAGGTACTATTGTAATACCTTCTGGCTTAAAACAGAACACTTAACACTCCTGAATGCTAGGATGTCTATAAAAGAAAAAGAGGAATCACTTACTTGTGATTTCGGTTTTGCACTGACTGTTGCTGAACCTGCTGAATCTGCTGAGGAGCTGGCCTTTTGCGAGACTGGTCCATTCCTGACTGAGCCATCCCAGGTCGGACAGAAGGGCTCCCACCATAGCCTGGAGGTCCCATTGCAGGTCCTTGAGGAGTCATGCGGCTAGCAGGCAACATTCCCGGGCGCTAAGAAAAGAAACAAATTGACTGTTGCCATGCCTAAGAACTCAACTGCTGCTTCTTGTTCTCAGTTGCAACAGAATCAAATAGCATCCCTGCTTTCAGTGTACCAGTTCAGCAACCAAAATTGTCTACGCCTTTGAAAAGAATCCTCAAATTATTTTCTTTTTAAAAACATCTCATAGAAGGTTCAGTATTCCCATTCCCCAATAAATAACGTTTGATGGAAAAATATCTATAATTTTTTAAAAAACCCTTTCTGATTTGGGAAGCACATAGCCATGCAACTCCTGCCTCCATGAGTATATAATTCAGAAAGAAAAAAAAAGTGTAATTATTCAATTTGCCATCACCTTCTGATTTCCCACCCCACCCCTAGGATTTGGATCTTGGATGAGACGGGTAGTTTTACTCCCCTTTCTCAATATATTATATTCCTGATGTTTGAATGGGAAGCTATGCAAGAACAAAACCAAGGCGTATGTCTTGTACTCAGAAATTCTTCGCCTCCTTGATGTTCATCCACCATTAACCCCAGAGCCATACAATGGTCTTCCCCGCCCCCACCCCTCTAGGTCCATTCTCACATTCCTTTCTTTTCTCCCGCCCAACCACAAAGCCAGGCGGTCCCTCCCGACGCCCGCGGCCCCCTGAGCGCTCTCCTCGCACTCTGCCCTTGCAGCCTCACCCCCATAGTCCCTCTATTTGTCAATATATCTATCTATATGTATATATTATGCCGCGGATCCCCCTTTCAGCAGCCGCCCCTCGTCCTCCATCTTTCAAGAATGGCTCTCATCCTCCTCTTCCCCTCCGAGCCCCGCCCACTGCAGCTGAGCCGCCTCCCCCCCCCCCCCCCCCCTCGACCACCACCAGCCCCCTCAGTGGCAGAGCAGCATCTCGCGCTCACGCCTGGCCTTAGAGCTCCGCCCCACACCTAGGACCGCCCCCTTTTTTTTTTCAGCCGGGCCGGACCGGTACCGGGTATGCAGCGCCGGGCAGAGGGGAGCGGTACATTCCTTGTCCGGGAGCCGGGCCCATCCGCACGGGAGGCCCCGGCGTCCCTGGTCCTAGCGGTCCCGCCCCAGGGCCGGCTCCACTGCCGCCACCGCTCGGAGCTACAGCCTGGAAACCCGCCCGCGCCGCCATCTTCCCTCCCTCGGCCGTACAAAAGCAGGCGGAGGGCGGATGTGGGGTTTGGATGATTTAGTAAGGCTTTATCATAGACACGCCAGGTCTGCGGGGAGATAGAGCGTCGCCGGATTCGGCTTCGCGGGGGAAGGAGGGAATCGCAAGGAGAGAGGCGCGCTGGGTCTCGAGTGCCTCGCTGGTGTTAGAAAAGGCTTTGAGAGGCAAATCTCTCTCTCTCTCTCTTTCAGAGTTGCTTCCGTTTTCCAAATGGCGGTGGTCGCGCTCCGTTTCAGAGGGTCTCAGTTCCGCTGCTTGAAGTGCATAACAAAAACGACAAGACTTTTTGGAAGCGGTTTAACTCGCTTAAATTAAATCCAGGGAAGAAACGTCCTCCTGCCATTGAGACAGGTGAATAAGCCAGTCTCCCCGTATTGGATCCATTAATGCTCAGCGCCTCCTGTACAGGGATTTTTCTCACTTTGTGCTAAAACTCTTAAGTAATCTTATGCTGTTAATAGGAATCGGGTTTTGGAAAGGCTAAATACTGCAGTGCCAAAAGTAAAAAAACAACAACAACAAGTCATGTATTACAACAGGGATTTAGTAACTGAAGCTAAAATCTAAACTATATTTTGGGGATTGCAGAAGCAGAAGGTGTTTTGAAACCAATGTATGCCCTCAGATTTCAGTGGGGTTCCTTTTCGTTTAAAAAGTATGTTCGTTGGGACAGATGTAAACGCTCCACTAAAAATACGGTACCGATAGTCCTTGACTTATGATCACAACTGAGCCCGACATTTTTGTTGCTAAGTGAGACATTCGTTAAGTGAATTTTGCACTGTTTTATGACCTTTCTTGCCACAGTTGTTAAAGGAATCACTGGAGTTGTTAAATTAGTAACACAGTTGCTAAGTAAGTCTTTGCTTGCCAGAAAGTCATAAAAGGTGATCACATGACCCCAGGACACTACAGTGGTCATAAATGTGAGTCAGTTGTCAAGCATCTGAATTTTAATCACATGATCATGGGGATGCTGCAAGGGTCATAAGTATGAAAAATGGTCATAAAGCACTTTTTAATGCCGTCACTAAATGAACTGTTGTAAGTTGAGGACTAGCTATACAACATGCTTCATGAAATTTTCTTTTTTCCTTCAAGAAGTCTGCACAGCTGCCAGATTCTTTTAATCTGAATTCTAAAATACAGACTTTGTGACCACAAACTGGCCTAAATTTAACACATCTCTATAATCTCCAGCTTTTTGGTTCTTTGCCTGATGAAGAGCTTTGGAAAACTTGAAAGCTTGTGTGCTTTGAGGGACAGTTCTCAATAAAAATACTATCCAACTCTGAATTTGGATAGCAGTTGATATGGGTATTTGTTTCCATATTTGACATGCCATGATGCATTCACACACATATACCAGAAGACTGCCATCCTCTCTTGTAGTCTGCTCTGCAAGAATACTTAGTGACAGGTCACATACACAAGGCAGACACTGGGTTGTATCTATATTTTTATTGAAGTGTGTACAAATGGCACTTTGCTTTGTGATTAACCTTCATTGAATCTAAAAGGCACGAACAGGCAATATATATACGGTAGGTAACAAACTCAGGATCCTTGCATCCTGTGTCTGTTGCCTGTCCTGTTCACAAAAATTACATGTGATCGGGTCTTGCTGTAACGTAATTCTTTTGTGACTCTTCAGCTTTATTTCCTCCTCCTCCTTACCATATGCCTGCCACATTGCGTTCTAGCTTTGAACATTTCTTTTGTTAAATATCAGCTTTTTCTTGTCATCTGCCAAAGGCAGTTTAGGGAGACCAACATTATTTAGGTGCATATACTTGCATCTTTCCTATCCAGATGAGTTGCAGCAATTTTCTCTAAACACTTAGTGCCTTCTTGATTGAGGATGGTGGGAATGGTACTCCAACATATTTGGAAGGCACATGGTTGGGGAACGTTGAACTGTAGAACAGATTGTTGAGTTCTGGAGCAGCATAATTTGCTGTTAAGTCAAAAAAGTTTTGTTGTTGTTATTCTTGTTTATGTAATGATTTAACCATTTCTTCTGAGAATTTTTGTGCCAGTCACCTTTGGTTCCACTCTGTTGCTGCAACTAAGTTTAAATATGTATAACTGATACACTGATAGATTTTTTTTCCTGCTTATTTCTGCTTCTGTTTCCCTTTCCTTCCTCTCTCTTCTCATATTTTGTAAAACGTGAATGGGATAATAATGGGATAAACTTAGGCAGCTGGCTTCCCTGTCAGGTTGGAAATGCATGTAAATCGAGGTCAACATAGTGTGCGGCTAAAGATGCGAATTTTCTGGCACATTTCTCTATGCAAATAAGTATGAATTGAATTAGCATATTTGTCACAGTTTCTGTAGTCTGCATAAGCACTTGCCCTTATCATCTTCATAGCACAGTTGACTGCAGTATTTGTGCTTGGCAATTTTCTTATCTTCAGTAACTTTTCATAAAGATGTCACACATGCATCAGGAATGTTTAGCTTAGGCATTTATGATTGGAATTGAAAGGAGAACTGGAACCTGATATAAGTTGCCTTCCAGCAGATAATCAAGGATGGCCATGGAGAAGCCAAGATTAAAACAATGCACATAGCCATCTTTGTTTTCAAGTCCTTTCGGGGCAGGTAGAGGCTATAGATAAAAATACTCATTTTTCTACAATTAGCTGCTTCCTCTTCTCGCTCTCCTAGTTGTTGAAGCCAGTAAGGAAACCCTTGAAATGGCTGTTTGTCAGTTTTTTGGAACAAAATGAAAGGCAAATATGCAACTTTGAAACTGCTGAAATTCGCTGCAGCATTTGTTTTCCAGCCCACATCTAGGAAGGCATTTGGCTCTTTGAGAGGGACATTGTATGTGCATACATCTTCGCTGTATGAATTTGCCATTGCTTTTAGAAGAAATTTTGAGGACCTGATGGCGGATGCGGTGGTCAGGTGAAATCAGGTTGCAACATGAGAAATAGGCTCATTATGTATCTGTCCCACAGCACAACTTCCTCTGGAATGTGTACGTGTGAGCCCATCAATTTAAAACTTTCATGGGCTTTAAAGACCATTATTTCATGTTATTTTTCCCCAAACGTTTTATGGTGATGCTGCTTCAGATGCTATATGGAATACATATGCTAATTTGTAATGGCATAATGTAGGAATTATTATTTTATGATTGTGTATATTGTGCCTTAACGTAAGTGCCCCTAAAATAATGATTACAGTGACTGGCTAAACATGTTAAAAAGAATGCACTGATATTGACCATTTGCTTCGTGCTTTCCATTCTGTAAGTTTCTTGAGTAGTATAGTAATGGTCACTATCATGTAAAAGTACCGCAAATTATTTATTTGTGTCTCTTTTTTCCTAAAATCTTTGGCTGAAACACGACTAATATATTTTCCAAAATCTGTAAAGATAAGAAATATCCTGGTCATGCAAAAATGCCTTTTAATTCACTCTGCTTTAGCACACCCTAAAGCTGATCCAGGATTAAAGGTTTGAATGCAGAGTAGGAGCATATGGGATTATCAAATTTTGCTCTTGGGTTGGTTTTTAAGACAATGTTTATATACTTCTTGCAAGGTCCAGTATTGATTTAAACTCTGGATAGCATAATTTTGCCTGGAAATTGCCATTTTTAGAACATGTGAAATAAGAGTTTACGCATATCTATTCAGATGAAAGTTCCACTGTTCATTTGAGGGGTTAGGGTTTAAGCCAAACAAGAGTTCATAGGATTGCAGGTTTAGTTTTCTTTTTTATCTCATTCCATATTTATGTTGCAAAAGTAATTACAGTACTATATAGTGCAGACTTGTAAAGAAATGTTGAAAATGCCTTTCAGTCTCATAGAATGGAAGGAACAGTGGCTTCTCTTAATGCCTATTATATGTTAACTAGAGCAATAGCTTCTCTTAATATCATATTTGATTGTGATTTCCACAGCCTTTATCTGTGCAGAAGAAGTAGAACATATATGGCACTCCAGATGTTATTGAGAGTTTAGTTTCCATCAACCTCAGCTAGTGTGGCCAATGCTAGGGATAAGATGTAAATGTAGGCAAACTACAACATCTAGAGATCAGATATTTGCACTGTCCTCAGACTGTTTTATTAGCAAAATATTTTCTCCATTCAACTGTGTACCATAGGACAGCACTGCTAGGTTATTTTATTTTGCTCAAACATGCAGCAAGTGAGAAGTAGAAATCAGTGCTTTGAAAATGATGGCCTGAAGTGTAACAACATAAACATATAATATAAAAATCATAAGCAGGACAGAAAACCACCCCCCAGCAAATTTGTAACTGAATAGCTTTGGGAATATGAAAAAGGAAGAATCCCAGACTTGCATTTTTTTAGTGGAGGATCAGAAAAAGCAAAATTTTTAAGCAAATGAGTAAACAGCTTAATAACTGACTAAGAGAAAAAGGTGCAACTTGAATTAACAGCTTATGCATGAAAAGGGCAAAATATTGGCTTAGAATCACTAGGTATTGAGGACATGCCCTATCAAAATTTTAGTGTTAGCACATGTGACCACTTCATTGTCCATTTGTAACTCTAGTCTAGAGCCTAATAGTTTACATAATCAGCTTTCAAGGATGGTAAGAATAGTTGGTTTGTTTGGGGCATCAGACCAAATCTGAGTCATGGTTCTGAAACCTGTTTGTGAAGAAGAGCACAAGGAACACCAGTAATAACGTGAGATACCATGAGCTAAATGTAGCTGCTCATCAAATAGTTCAGATTGGCAGCAGACTCAAGATTATCTGGTTTTAGCTGTCGTAGGCAAGCTATTAAAATTGGAGATATTTCAAGAACCTTATGAGGTGCTATTTATTATATCCATTTCACTATTCCAGTTATAGGTGTTGAGAAAAACAAATCCTAAGATTCTCAGCCTGCATAGTTGGCATTAGGTTAAGGAAGGCTCCCCAGGGTTCTGATCCTGCTTACATTATCCTATGTGTGTTCTATAGCTCTAATCAACCATCTTATTTCCATGCCATTAACACAAGCGGGATAATTAATACTGAGTGGCAAATTGCAATGAAGATTCAGAGGACAAAGTAAAGTCAATGATATCAGCTGATATATAAATGGTGATTGCCACTACTGGGCAGTCTAAATGTGATTTTTATGCAGATGTGTGCTATGCCAGCAACATACAAATATTCCACTTACAGTACTGTAGTGACATTTAGTCATAAAAAAATACAGCTGTCTCCTAAAAGGATGACATTAGCATCAACTTCCAAAACGACAGGGTACATAACAAATTCTATGTTGAATCAGATTTATTCCAGGACAGCATTTTGTTTTCCACAATGACCAGATGATACCATGAAGTGTTCCAAGATGTGGGTGAAATGATCTCCTTCCATTCAAGTTCCCATATATTGGTATTAATCGGTATTGGTATTACTAATATGTAGCCCTATGGTTATATGCACAGGACATACATAAAGTTATCATAACTTACTTAATGTGGTTTTCCGAATAACATGACCTCATGAATGATAAATTAATGACTTGGCTTGGATTTGCCTAACACATTTAAGCTTAAAATGTGATGGTTAGTTTGTGTTTCAGAGGTTTTGCTGATGACTTGTACAACTGTTCTTTAAAAATGACAGATGTTTTCCTAAATATATCTGTGGTTCTTTTTAAAAAAAATATTCTGCCATCTTCTCTAAGATGATGATAGTTATAAAAAGGAAACCAGCTCAATGCATCTACAGTGCAGCTTTGCAGTTTATGTGTTTGTAATTCTGTGAGCAAGGACTCCAAAGTTAAAATAGTAATGGGTGACCAAGCATTCCAAATAACTCTTTTGTTCTGAACGACAACATATATAGATGGAGGTGACATTGTTCAGATGTATCTAAAGTAATTCCACATATTATACGCTGAAATCTGTTCACGCATCCACACACATACAAATACACATAGTGAGAGACAATGTTCCTACATTACACTAAGCAATATTGTGCTTTACATTTTGTGAGAGCAGCCATTATGGTTTCTGGCTTATAAAATATGATTAATGTCTGTGTTGCTTGAATCTTGATGTATTCAGTAAACATGGTTAAAGTAGTTTGAGCATGGTACATAAACTAATCAAAGGTTTTTTTGAAAAACTTACCTAGTACCATTTGAATGAAGGCTATTCTGCTTTGTTGCTGGAGAGTTTCAGCATTACATATTTTGACCAAAATTGTTGCCTTTAAAAAACTGCTATTATTTTTTGGTTTTGCTTGTTGATGCTTGTTGATCTCACCACCTTAAATTAGTAGAGTGCTGTCACAGCAGAGTTATCTGCTGGGATGCAGAAGTCACAATGTCAGCCACAACTCTGTACAATCAGAGAGAGCCCTGCCTCTTTTAGTTACGTTGTATGTGGTACACAAAAAAGGGATAGGGATTTGATTGCACAGTTGCTGGGGCCATCTTGCATCTCTCTTCTAGATGTTCCTATGTTGGAAGATATCAAAACACGAAGAAAAAAAGAGAGAGAAAGAGAGAGAGAAAGAAAAAGAAAAATTGCAGAAAAGTGAAAGAGGAAAAGGCTGAGTCTCCAGGGGTTGGTTTTGTCCTTTATATCATTGTTAGAGGAGCAAGTTTTGATATACAATGCGTTTTTCTTCTTGTTGTGCTTCCTATGAAAATGTGTACATAGTACATATACCAGAGAGAATTCAACATTTTATACATTTGAAGGCATTCAGAGATTGGTAGTTTGGAAAAAAGTTATAATGGCACAATATCAAGGCTTTTGATGCTACTGAATGAATATATACATAGACATGACATATATGTGCAGGTATGTGTTTGAGTGTGCATATGTATTTATATATACATATACACATGTGTCTGTGTGTCTGTGTGTATATATATATATGTATATACTGTAATCATATTTTATATATAAGAAATATAACATGAGCATGAAATAGTAAAAATGGATAGACAAATGGAGACAGAAGGTCAAAATGTAAGCCCTATCTTCAAAAGTTTTCAAGCAGTAAAATACAATGACGCCAGTAAAAACCGCAGAATAAACAAAATGCTTTTGGGCAAAGAACACTTTAAAAAATTTTGTGGGGAAAAAATTGGCCGTGGCAGATTATAATATCTTTGGGAAATCTGTTACACAACAGCCCACCCAATGAACAAATACATTCAATTCTGGAATGATCAGGATCCAAGTAAAATAAAGCTTAAAAAAAGAGCAATTGTATTGCAAAAGCTCTTAAAGATAAGGAGAACTTTGGCCCTGGGTGCTGCACATGAAGCAGGTCTAAGTTAATAATATTAAGAAAAGGAGACTGGATGTGCCAAAGACTAGGGCAGGCACTAGATGCCATGTGTGTGACCCAGGCTGAAAGGGGGATGAGTTCCTCTAAAAGTGGGGGAGGGGGGGAACCCAGTATCCATGGGTTTCTCCCCATCTGGCAGCTTTGAGTCTTAGAGGCAGTTTAAATACAGTTTGTTTATATGGCAGAGAGGGTGGGAAGTCCAAGCGCCATCAAAATCCTTTGGTGTTGTGAATGGACACCTCGAGATACACAGAAGCTTATTTCTTCCTCGGTTCTTGGCATTAATTCCCTTAATGTAATCAAAAGGTCATTTGTTTCCCATTTCTCTTTATACTTGTAAGCTCATGAAGCACAGAGAAAGTGTAGACCTTATCTCCTGCTACTTAGCAAGGCTGAACATGCATCAGTACATCAGTACAGATGATCCCAGATAATCCAGGCTTTTCTGATTTTTTTAAAAAAAAGATTTCTCCCCAAACTTAGCCTGTCCGGATTCCAGTGGGTGTTTATCACAGTTTGGACAGCTCTGTTGATTTGGGCTCCTTGGAGAGTGGCTGAATTAACAGTGGAGAAAAAAGTATATTAACCACATCGCTACCAGAAGCAAATTTTAAAGGTTACGGTGAGGAAGACACTGCTGTTTCTGATTCTCATTCTTATCAAACTATAGCCTATTATAAAATTCCAAAAGGCTTTTCACCAGGATGGCTTGGAATACAGTAAGTGGAACACTTACAAGACAAGGTCATGTCAGTTCATTTTTGGAGAAGCAAATGTTAGACAACCCTTCACTGATGGTGATGTCAGTCTCTTGAGTAGGCTGTGTGGCCTACCATCACAGGACCACACATCCAGGCTCTTCTTAATATGGATTGAAATGGTGGCTATTCGGGAATTGGGGGGGGGGGGGGGGGAAATCAAACCTCCATTCTGCTCTGCCTTTCTCAGGTGGAGAAGTATCAGGCACTATGGACAGGTTGTATAGGAGACTTAAGACAAAAGCAATTGCTACAAAAAAGGGAACTCATGCCACCCTCCCTGACCCATGGCTTTACTGGAATGCCCACCATCATTCCCAGCCTGCAAATGCTCCTTCCCAATGCAAACCATTCATCTTGGCTTGAAGGTAACAGGGCTAAATGGCTGAAACACTAACTAGTTGACTGTGGCTGGGTTGTAATAGTGAGTGTTATAAAATAGGACTTTGAAGTTTCTTTAGGAGAAAACAGGGAGTCTGACTTGAAAATATATTCCAGAGAAACATCTTCCCATAACTGTTCTTTTATTTTGCCGGTATGCTGATGATGCATAATAAAGAAATGCCTTGCATCATTTGTATGCATTTTGTTTGGAGACCCTCTGTGTATGTCTCAGAGTGGCGTCTTAATCCTTACCTACGAAATCTTGGCTGACGGTGATAAGGGACTGTTTCTGCCCTTAAAAACTAAAGGACAACGTCGTTTCCACAGTGTACTAAAACAAGCTACTCTTATCATTGCCCTAAAAGTCCCTTCTGTTTTTTCTTGCTAAAGCGAGCGCTAAGCTTCTGCCAGCCAAAGTAATGTTGGCACGTTATTTCTGCCTGCAAGGAATACCCTAGATGTTGCCCTGGTACCATGGGAAATAAAGAAGGAAGCTCAAATCAAGAGACAGGTGCATTGCTTTCTTCTCCTATTAGCAGCTACAGACCCTGAACCATGACTTCTTTGGAAACAATCTCTTTTGTACATTATGGAGAATTCCTGCGAAATGGCAGACTTGTCTCTGAACCTCACTACTTAAGAATTGTCACATCTTTCCTAATAACATGCACAGAAGGGGCCCAGGCAGCTCATCATGCGAACGTTGTAACCTTTGGAACAGCTTTGCTACCTGCCTTTCTCATGGGAGGACTGGGATGATGGATGGAATAGGCAAGGGCTCAAAGAAGAGCAGAGTCCAGGCCAGGTCAAATGAGAAGCTGCCAGTTGGATGAGATGAGCAGATGACGGCACATTCTATGGAAGTGGCTCTCTCAGTTCAGTTGCAGTCTTGCTCCAGTGAAGGCTATGACTGTTGGCCTCCCCACAGTGCACAGTTAGAAGGGAGAAGGGAAGAGAACTGAAGCAGCACTTCCTTTTGATAGATAAGTAGCCTCTACAAACAGAATGCCACAGAAACAGTCTGGGTCTATCTGTTCCTGTAGGTTCTTCTTGGCATTCGGAATAAAAGAGAGAGAGAGAGAGAGAGAGAGGGCTTTGCACACAATGACCACCGCCACACAAGGCTTGCTGTGGTTAGGGAGCATGACAGATACAGAAGGAGAGACACACAGTTAAGACTTCAGTGTTTGTGGACCGGAGAAGGCTGTGCCCTCACCTCCATTGGATACTGCGGGGGGGTTTCTTCCAGCAGCACTTCCGTTACGTTTAAAGTTCAAGGGCGTCATTGGAATGAGCAGAAACTGGAGTGGATCTGGCAGCTGAGCCTCACCTCTGTCCAGCTGGCTCCATGTGCGTATCGCTGCATTGGCCTGGGGCGGATGGATGAGGAGAGGCTGGATTCTGCTGCCTCCCCAGTAGTCTGAGATAGAGGCCCTGCAAAAGGTTGGCAGGTCCACGGGCTGGGCTGGGCCAAAGCTGCTCAGCATGGCCCCTTCCCTTTGGTAGTGTTAGTTGTACATCCAGTTGTCAGTTAACAGGTAAAATCCTCAAAAGTTCCTCGGGCTGGGTGGTGAGGTAGGATGTTGGCTGCGTATGTCATGCCTGCTGGATGGCCTCGGATATTCTCACATGGATTCTGGAAAGGTGGAGAGGAAAAGCAAAAAGGAACATAAACAGAATGGACATGAAAGTAGCATGGTAAACAAGAAACATTGATAAATGGGACCCTAGGTCCAGGATTTGTGGGTTCAAGAGACTCAGTGCCATGGAGGAGGAGATGGTTTAGGAATTGAAGAAAAAAAAAAAAAACAGCTAAACTTCTGGAACGTAATCAGACTCGGAATAAAGGGCATCTCCCAAGGTATTCCTCATCATCTGTCATAGAAGACTTCGAGAGACTGGTCTTGTTTCATTAAAGTAGCCCAAGAAGATATGATACTTTGCTGCAGATAGCTTCCTGTCTCTACTAGCGCTTCTACATGAACTAGGAATCATATCACTGCCCCCAATTGGACTTTTTTTGCACCACTTGGCCCAATTCATTGGATACTGGTGCTGGTCATGATGACAAGATGGTAGGACGAAAGGGTTTTTACATCATAGTTAGAAATCTGATATTGCAAGAAGACTTCAACTCTTGCAGTGCACATTATAGGAGAAGTTGTGGTAGTCATTTCTTAGAGGAGGCTAATGTAAATTTCCATGAACGATATGAGTAGCCTGCCTCAAATTTTATAGATAAAGGTAATAAAGGCTTTGGATACTTGTATAGCAGTGTCACTAAGAGGGGTGGTGGTGCAGTGGTTAGAATGCAGTATTGCAGGTCAACTCTGCCCACTGCCAGGAGTTCAAGTCTGACTGGCTCAAGGTTGATTCAGCCCTCCCTCCTTCCGAGGTCAGTAAAATCAGGACCCAGACTGTTGGGCACAATAGGCTGACTCTGTAAACCTCTTAGAGAGGGCTGTAAAGCACTGTGAAGCAGTATATAAGTCTGATATTGCTAGTACTATCTTGTAGGACCCAGGAAATTTGCCTTCTTGGTAGCTGCATTACTCCTGAGGTCCACATGGCTCCAACTCTCTTGAGACTGTAAAGCTGTAACCATCTGGCTCTTCTGTCATGCCCTGGGATAGCAACACAGCTAGAATACAACCTCCTAAAGTGTTGCATTTTTGGCATGCTATACCTAAAGACAGATTTGTCCTGCCAAAAATAAATATGTGCTAAATGAAGTAAAGAAAATGGTTGTTGCTAGGTTTCAAAGTGATTGAGTAAAAAATTAAGGGGCTGAGTAGATAATGATGGGGAGAAATCCTTGGCCATGGTAAGCCACCACAAAGCAGCATGGACAGGTGTAGAGTAGCTGAATTGATAATTGAGCTTTTAAATGGCTACAATCTTATTTGTAAGATTGTTTACCTTGAAATTTAAGGGCCTAGCAAAGTTAACCTAATATTTAATTAATATTGTAGATATAAATAAATAGAATTGGATTCCTTATTGTATGGTATTATGAGAAGTGTAATTCTACCAGAGGGCAATAGTGATGGTCAGGATTCCTAATACAGAAATCTCAACTGCTTCACTAAACTGTAGATTCTTTATTGGTTGAGAGAGTTTGGCACAATTAAAATGATACAAACTCCGCGATCCTCGAGAGCATAGCCAGGCCATCCACTTGGCAGATGACAAGGGAATGTACTACATTATGAGGTGTAGACACTTACATGGCGCTTCACATCATCCAGGCTCAGGGCAACACCCTTGTCACTGTTGTTCCCTTTGTGTTTCTTCTCACACTTGTCACGGCGACAGAGGTGGAACTTAATAACCTAGAGATTGAACAAGAGGAAATGTTCATCATTGGGAACTATTAATTGGGATTACTGACACAGTAGGTCAGTGAATAAAATTCCATATGATTGAGCTGTAACACTAATTACCACATTGAAATGAGCTTTAGGTGACCCCTACATAGAAGTCAAATTCTGAAAATGGTGTATTTCAGTGAAGTGTGATGAATTACTTTCCTATTGACTCAGTTTATTGCTAAAACTTAAAACTTTTTTCTTAATTGAAGAGAACTAAAAGTTTGTTTCAGAACTGAATTACAGCATATGTTTACTGGATACCTCCTTATAAGCCATACGTTGTGCTCCTTTCCCTCATGTTAACAGTGCCAAAACTCACCTCATAGGCATAGTCAAAAAGCTCAAGCACAGTCAGTAAACTGGCCCCAATAAACAGTCCCATCTGTCCCCCAATGTCACCTGCATGGGAGAGACAGGAAGACACATGTCAGGTCTTTAGATGCATCCCAATCCCAATCTTGGCATGTTTCTTAAGTGGAATAACTTCCATCTCTGGGTAATCCCCAATTATGCCAACCCACATTGAAGGGAAAGGGGGAACATGGGAGATTTTACATTACATTGAAGTCAGCCCCAAAGGTCACCCCTGCCTTGGAAGTCTGGCATTTACAGGATCTGCTCCAACTGGCAGTCAGAAAAAAAAGTGATCTCACCCAGCAGTCCAGCTACTTCATATGCTTTCTTCTGCTCAATGGTTTCATAGTTCAAAGCCTCAAAGAAAATGTCCAGAACGAGGATGTTCTCCCTGCATAAGATGAAGGGAAGTAAAAGGGATCCAAACTTTAAAATCTGCCCACCAAAGAATCCTGTAAGTAGACCCTATGCTGATGTTTGGAATTTTGGCTAATGACCAACTCGGCAAAACAAGCACCCATAGTTGTAGAAGTGAGAACAGATACACACACTCACATGTTTACACCTAAAGAGACAAATGATGGTTGCAGCTGTTTGTGGAATCATCACAGGATATGTGGAACATTTCCTCAGAACAGAATTGGCTCCAGAAGAGATGGGAGACCTATCTGTCTTTCTTTGTTTCTATCAGTTTGTCCATCGATTGATTGATCCATCGATCGATCCATCATCTCTCTCTCTCAGCTATCTATCATCTATCATCTGTCTGTCTATTTGTCTATCTGTCTATCTAATCTTTTATCTATTAAATTTATTTGCCGCACATCTCACTGCTCTGGGCAGATTACAACATTAAAAAAAAATAAAACCATGAGAAATATTACTAATAACAATAAAATGCAATTATATGTAAGGATGGTGATTCTGGGCAGCGTACAACATTAAAACACTAAAACCATGAGAAATATTATTAATAACAATAAAAATGCTATTACTAATTAAAGATGGGGAGGGAGGGGGGCAAGGTGTGCAGGAGAGGGGATCTTATATTGGTCCATCAACCACCTCCAGAGTGATGCTTCCCCTCTGGGGCCCCAAGCCATCTGGCAGAACCGGGTTTTCAGTCTTTTCTGGAAGGCTGGGAGGGTGAGAGCATATCTAACTTCGGGGGACAAGATGTTCCAAAGGGCAGGAGCCACAGCAGAGAAGGCTCTTCTGGACCCTTCCAGCCAGAATTCCTTAACCAATGGGGTTTGCAGCATGCCCCCTCTGCCAGCATGGGTGAGTCGGGCCTAGTCCTATTGGGATGAGGCAGTTCCTCGTATAACCTGAACCCATGCCATGCAGGCTTCAAAGGTGATCACCGACACCTTGAATTGCACCTGGAAGCAGACTGACCATCAGTGCAGCTCACAGAATAGTTGCATAATATGGCTCACTCTTAAGAGCTCTGGACATCGCCCACGCCACCACACTCTACACTAGTTGTAGCTTCTGAATGCTCTTCAAGGGTAGCCCCATGTAGAGTGCATTGCAGTAGTCCAAGTGTGAGATGATCGGAGTTTGAACGATTGAGCACAGGGACTCCTGATCCCGGAAGGGGTGCAACTGGACACAATGTGAGTACTCAAATACCTGGGTTCACCAACTGGGAAAGGAAGAAATGTTCTCCTGGAGTGCTTCCACTTGCTAAGAGAATTGTTTTTAATAGGAAGGAAGAGCCAAACGGTGCCTTCTTCAATGCATGGCTCTTTCCTCATCTGCTTCTTTCCAAAGCTGTCTCTCGGTTCTAAATCTCTGGGTTATCTCTGACAATACCTACAGCTTTGCCCTGATGGTGGATGCTGCTGTCTTATTAGTTTCTGTTTTGGCCAGTTAGTGAGGGACAGGAAGGGGAAGTGCAGAAAAAGGGTACTGTATTTTTCGGAGGATAAGATGCAGCTTAGTTTTTGGGGAAGAAAATAGGAAAAAAAATCTGCCTACCAGGTATTCATCTGGTTAGCATCCTTAGTCTAGTCAGCTTCAGCACATTAGCTTGCTGGTTTTTTATCCCCTGCTTGGGGATAAAGGACAACTTTTCCATGGCGATGCTGCGCAATTCCTCATCGGGATCTCCCTCATATCTTGTTAGGGACTGAGAGTGTGCTGTGCCTTTAAATCTTCTGCTGGCCACTCCTCCCTGGCTCCTCAGCACGGCAGTTTTATTTCTCTCAGTCTTAGAATAGGGACGTGAGTATAGTTTCTCTCACTTCTGTGAGACTTTTTTGCCTTTATACTTAGTTAATCTCTTTCTTTTTGTAAATAGTGTATATAGTTAATATTTTTAGGTAGGTTTTTGTTATTTAGAGTGGGAGCGTTTTTTCTCTGAGGAGGCTGCTGCGGTGGCAGCAAGCCTCCGGCTGCTTCTGTGGGCTTCGCTTTATAATTAGCTTGAAGCCCCGACCTTTCTTCAGCAGCGAGCAGAGCCTCCCTTGTTAGGAGCTCTGAACGGCTTTCGAGCTGTTTTTCTTGGCCGCCGGCGTGCGCTTGGGGCTGCTGGTCCGCTGGTCGCCCCGGCGCCGCCATTTTGCTCCCCAATAGTTGGCGGTTGCAGAGTACCTGCTTGGGGGGCCCCGAGTACAAACTCTGCCTTATCCTTAGCCTCGCGGCGCTCAAGGGGCGGCTGCCTCTCGCGCCTTGCCGATCAGAAGGATTTTGCTGACTGCTTGAACTGGATCGGCTGCCATTAGAGCGAATTGCCTTTAAGCCAATTTTTTGCTCCTGTGGATTCCAGCTGTTGATTCCTTGGCGAGGCTGCGCTTTCAGGGGCAATTGTTTCCTGGCGCTCTTGAAATACCTCACCCTGAGATCTACATTGGAGTGAGTATTTTCCTGTCAGGGGAGATTCGCGCCAATTAGTTTGGCGCCATTGAGGTCACGGCGGCCATTTTGAGGGTGAATTCTGGTGCCTGTTCTTAGGCCACAATTTCCCCTTTCTCCTTAGGATCTTCCTTGGAGACTCCTGGGTTGATTGCCTGTATTTAACCACCATGGGCGACCAAGAATTTTCGTCTGACCCTGAACAGATTCCTGTTCCTCCCAGGCCAAAGAAGGCCTCAAAAAGAAGGCCTGCTACCCAGGCTTCAGCCTCTTCAGCTAATCAGCATTTAACTATTTCGGACAGGGAGGAACAGCGGAGACACAATGCCCTGGAGAAACAATTTTCCAGGGCTCAAAAACAAGCCCAACTCGCAGGGGAGGTGGTTCTGGAGTCTTCCTCTCCTCAACTGGATCCATTGGGCTCAGAGACGACCCATCTGGCATCACAAGATATGCCTTCTGATTTACCTCAGGCACCCATGTTACCTGATAAGCCGGGACCTTCAGCGTCATTTACCCCCACGGCGGCTGGTCTGAGGCCTCAGGAGGCTTTAGGTTGGGCCCCTCAATTAGACTTCCAGGCCCTATTTACAGATGCACTGGCTAAGGCAATCACCTCAGGCCTTCAGCAAGGGGGACAGTCCCAGTTTGGGTGTCATACTTGTCAGAGGCCAGCCTCTTCCATGCCTGCTTGTGGGCATCCTCCTGCTATGCATCCTCCTCCTCTCCCTCCACCCCCCCTCCACCCCCTCCCCTGCCTGCCCAGGCAACCCAGCCTTCCTTAGAGGCTCCAAGTGAGGTATCATACTCAGTTGAGGGAGAACAGATTGAGCCAGAGTTCTCAGATGATGAGGAAGTGACCCCTGAAAGGCCGGCCTTTGCCACCTTGTTCAGACCTGCTGTCTTTAAGACTTTGCTCAGAAAGGCTAAGGCAGCTACAAACATGGGTACCATCGTCAATCCTAACCTTCAGGGGTCTTCTGGTACGCACCCGCATGGCGAGCTTTTCGCTGTACCCGTTCCTGATCATGACTATATCCCGTGTCCTGATTTGTTTAAAGAGGTTATTAAAAGACAGTGGGATTCGCCCGGGGTTCTGTCTGCTCCCAGCGGCCACGATAAAAAGCTGTATTGTGCTGACCCGGCTCTGGAGGCCCTTCTCAACCTTCCATCAGTAGATCCTCCTGTTGTGAGTCTATCTTCCTCGGCTGTCTTATCATCTGACGCTGTGGAGGTGTTGAAAGCTGATGAACGTAAGACGGAGGTTTCCTTCCGTAAAACGCACCAAGCTGCGGCCTGGGCGGTGAAAGCTGCAACATCCGCCTCATTCTTTAACAGAGCCACCTTAATATGGCTTCGGCAGTTGCAGGAGAGGTTGCCACCGGGGGACACCAGAATTGCCCAGGATTTCAACAAATTGGTGGCCGCTACGGAATATTCGGCGGACGCATCCTTGGATGCGGCCCGGTTTGCAGCCAGGGCCATGGCTTCTTCCATCTCCTCACGTAGACTTCTGTGGCTTAAGCCCTGGAAGGCTGACTCCAAATCAAAGTGGAGATTAGCATCTGCCCCTTACCACGGGTCCTCTTTATTTGGGGCAGCATTGGATCCAATTTTAATAGAAGGGAAAGATAAACGTAAGGTCTTGCCTGTTTCTTACAGTAGGCAAGAGCGCAGGTTCACACCTTATAGTCAAAGGCAGCCCTTTCGGGCAGAGTCAGGGCCCAGGGGGTCCTATTATGGTCGTCAGTATTCACAAGGATATTCACAAGGTTCCGACCGCTTTGCAGGAAGGCAGGGCAATAGTGACAGAGGGAGATTCCAATCCTCTTCCAGACGACCCTTTAAGGGAGCCGGAGCCGGAACCCGTTCTTCCAGAAGGGGAAAATGACTCCCTCGAACCTTTCCCAATTGGGGGGCGACTTCTTCACTTTCTACCCCAATGGGAGACCTCCACTTCCGACCCTTGGGTTCATCGTACTGTGGGGGTAGGATTGACTCTGGAATTTTGGACCCTTCCCAAACGTGTTTTTGTTCGTTCCCCAGTGCCCCGACGTCGAGACAAACTGAACAATTTCAACTCAGAAATCCAGCACCTTCTTCGGATTGGAGCAATAGAGGAAGTTCCTCTATCGCAACGGGGGAAGGGAGTTTATTCTCTCCTGTTTTTGGTTCCCAAGGCCTCGGGGGGGTGGAGGGCCATCTTGAATCTCAAGTACCTCAACAGGTACATCAGGTACAAGAGATTCAAGATGCAGTCCCTCCGGACCATTCTGGGTTGCATTCGAAGGGAGGATGTTATGACTTCCATCGATTTGCAGGAAGCTTACTTGCATGTACCAATCCACCCCCGCCATCGCAAGTACCTCCGCTTTGTGTACAACAGCCAACATTATCAGTACCGGGCGATGCCCTTCGGGCTTTCGTCTGCTCCGAGGGTGTTCACCAAACTGTTAGCAGCAGTTGCTGCCACCATTCGGTTGATTCCAATCCGCATATTGTGCTATCTCGACGATATTTTAATTTTGTCCAATTCCCCCCTTCAAGCTCAGCAGGACATGCAGCGGGTCTGTCGGGCCCTGGAACTCCATGGCTTCTCTATAAACCACAAAAAGAGCCACCTCTCCCCGACCAGGTCCATCGTTCATCTGGGAACCCGCATCGACTCAAAGGCGCTTCAAGTGTTCCTCACGGAAGAGAGACGGAGGAACATCACGGATGTGGTCCGGCATACCCTGTCCTTGAGGCGAGTGTCTCTGATAACTTTATCTCGGTTGCTCGGCAAGTTTATTTCCTGTTTAGATATAGTTCCGTGGGCACATCGTCACTCGAGACCACTCCAGTGGTTCCTCCTGCCCTTCCAGCGCCGGGGCCTGGGTTCTTCCAAGATCGCGGTGTCGCTTCCGAGCCCAGTACGGGAGTCGCTCCAGTGGTGGATGTCGGAAGCTCTCTCCAGAGGTTGCCACTTCCACGTGGTCTCCAGGTTAGTGATTACCACGGACGCCAGTCTGTCCGGCTGGGGTGGTCATCTGGGCTCTCTGGTGGTCCAGGGACTCTGGTCGACGGCAGACTCTCAGGACAGTATCAACGTTCTGGAGTTGAGAGCCGTGCGTCTGACACTGCTACATTTTCAACAGTCCCTCCGCCACCGGCATGTCCTTGTCCTCACGGACAATATGTCAGCAAAAGCCCACATCAATCGGGAGGGGGGTACCCAATCCCCTGCTCTCATGAGGGAGGCGGAAGCGTTGTTGGACTGGGCGGAGCTTCATGTGTTGTCTCTGAGGGCGGAGCACATTTCCGGGAAGGCGAACATTACTGCGGACTGGCTGAGCAGACAACATCTGGACCAGTCGGAGTGGAGGTTGCATCCCGACCTGTTTCGGGAGCTGACACGTCGGTTCGGCCTTCCCCTGGTGGACCTCTTCGCCAGTCCAGACAACGCACAGCTACCGAGGTTTGTCACACGGTTCCCTTGCCCGGGGGCCGAAGCCTGCGACGCCCTGAGGAGTCCCTGGCCTCAGGGTCTCCTTTATGCCTTTCCCCCCATCCCACTGATTCCAAGGGTGATCCGAAAACTGTTGTTAGAGAAAGCGGATCTATTGCTGGTCGCTCCCCACTGGCCTCGGCGTCCCTGGTTCGCCGACTTGGTGAGCCTCTCCGTAGATCGACCGTGGCGAATTCCCCAGGACCAGGTCTCGCTCAGCCAGGGGGCGGTTCTACATCCAAGCCCCCAGTGGCTGCAATTAGCCGTATGGCGTTTGAGCGGGTCCGCCTGAGGAAAGATAACATCTCAAATGATGCCATCCTTACCATCCAAGCGGCCAGACGCCCGTCCACCGTCCGAATTTATGACGCCTCCTGGAGGGCCTTTTGCCTTTGGTGTGCCTCCCAGCATACGGACCCTACGTCCGCAACTGTACCTAACGTTATAGACTTCCTCCAAGCGGGCCTCTCCAAAGGTCTGGCCCCCTCTACCCTCAAAAGACAAGTGGCTGCTTTAGCAACTGTCCTTGTGCCAGGGGATTCCGGCTCGCTGACTCTGGATCCCCGTATTCGTAGTTTTTTAAGGGGTGCTACGAATCTCCGGCCTCCTCCCATTCGTAGATACCCTACTTGGGACTTACCTCTTGTTTTGAACTCTCTTACGATTGCTCCATTCGAGCCTTTAGCCTCTGTTAGCCTTAAGTTTTTGTCTCTGAAGCTGGCCTTTTTACTTGCCATCACGTCAGCTCGGAGGGTCTCTGAACTAGCCGCCCTGTCGATTCGCAGCGACCTTTGTATTTTTAAACCCAATTTGGTTGTCCTTAGACTAGACCCCTCGTTTGTTCCCAAAATCAATTCAGTTTTCCATAGACAACAGGAGGTTATCCTCCCTGACTTTTGTCCTGAACCCCGTCACCCTTTAGAGACCCAATGGCATACCCTCGACGTACGCCGGGCACTACGCCGTTATATTGCCAGGACTGCCGTTTTTCGTAAGTCAGAATCACTCTTCGTGTCCTTCCACCCGGCAACCATGGGCCAACGGGTGTCATCTCAAACCATAGCCAGATGGATCAGGGCCTGTATCTCCGCAGCCTATGGCGCTAGGGGCAAGCAGGTGCCAGGGCGAATTTGGGCACATTCAACACGCAGTGCAGCCACGTCGGCGGCGTGGTCAACCCAAGCGTCTATCCTGGACATTTGCCGAGCTGCCACGTGGACATCACTCTCACCTTTTGTTCGCCATTATAAGATCGATACCTTCGCCTCTGCAGACGCTTCATTTGGCCGGAGGGTATTACAATCTGTCCACTCCCCTGGGACCCTGGGACCCAGCCAGCCTCCCCCCCAATAGACGGGTGCTTGGGCATATCCCAATGAGGAATTGCGCAGCATCGCCATGGAAAATGAACGTTGTCTCACCTGAACGTTCCTTTTCAGGGCGATGCTAAGCAATTCATCCCTCCTCTCAGGCTGTCTGGGACGGGAGCGGGTTCTTTCCTGTTTTTTCCTCCTCAGATCACGACTACTGTAAGGTACCTTCGAGAAATAAACTGCCGTGCTGAGGAGCCAGGGAGGAGTGGCCAGCAGAAGATTTAAAGGCACAGCACACTCTCAGTCCCTAACAAGATATGAGGGAGATCCCGATGATGAATTGCTTAGCATCGCCCTGAAAAGGAACGTTCAGGTGAGACAACGTTCATTCTAAGGCACAGCTGAGAGGAAGCAGCAATGAGAAAAGCAGGCAAAGCACGGGGAGATCACTCTGCTAGCGCCTCGTTAGGGCTGAAAAAAAGCTTTGAAAAAGCTACACTCGGAGTATAAGACGCACCCAAATTTTCAGCCTCTTTTTTGGGGCGGGGGAAAGGTGCGTCTTATACTCTGAAAAATACGATAATAGATGGGTTGGATGCAAGGGCAAAACTCAGCCAGGAAAAGAAACTCACCCAATGTACTGTTCACTCTTGTTGTATTTCTTGGCCAAGTACTTGGCTGAGGCCTTGCTGGGGATCTTCACCATGGACAGCTCTTTACCGTAGCGTGTGACATTGCAAGGCATCTCACATACACAATAATCATTGTCTCGCTCCACCAAGAAGTCTGGAGACCCCAAAGGAAAGGAAGAGTCACAATGATTTTGAATAACAAAATACCAAATGCACTTCGTAACATCTCATTTTAAGAGACTTGAGAGGTGATGTCTATTGGTCCTTACCAAGGGCTGGATCTGCACATTCTTTGTACTGTTCAGGGGTGCAGTACGGAGCATCACCTGCAAAAGAACATAAAGTGATGTTATGCTTTAATGAGAGCAGCTATTAACCGTTAAGCATGCAGATGGTGATTGCGTGACCGCAGGACTCTGCAACAGTTGCAAAGTGCAGAAATTTATTTATTTATTTATTTATTTTATTGAATTTCTATACCGCCCTACTCCCGAAGGACTCAGGGCGGTGAACAGCCATGAAATAAAACACATACATATACAAAATTTAAAATCGAATAAAATAAATTAAATAAATTTGGCTGAATTGATACCCATAATTTAAAATACCCATATTTTAAAATACAGTAAAAATTTAAAATTTACACTTAAAAGGGAGAAGATTTAGGCGAGGCCAGCTTGATGAAATAAAAGAGTCTTCAGCTCGCGGCGGAAGGTGCGCAGATCCGGAATCCTTCGTATCTCTGGGGGGAGCTCATTCCAGATCGTCGGTGCCCCCACAGAGAAGGCTCTCCCCCTAGGGGCCGACAGCCGACATTGTTTGGCCGACGGCACCTGGAGGAGCCCCTCTCTGTGGGGGCGTACTGGTCGGTGGGAGGCTATTGATGGTAGTAGGCGGTCCCGTAAGTAACCAGGTCCTAAGCCATGGAGCGCTTTGAAGGTGGTAACCAGAACCTTGAAGCGCACCCAGAAGACCACCGGGAGCCAGTGCAGTTCGCGCAGGAGAGGTGTTACATGGGAGCTCCACGCTGCTCCCATAACCACCCGCGCGGCCGCACTCTGCGCGGAAATCTCGATCACATGACTGCCAGAGGAATTGTGACAGTCCTAAGTACAAGGGCTAGTCGTAAAGTTGCTTTTTCAGCACCATCGTAACTTTCAACCATCACCAAACGGTGCGATTATTAAGCAAGGTCTACCTGTAGTGATATTATTCCTGTTTCCTATATTCTAGATATGGGGGGTGGGGGGGGGGGAACCCAAGCAGAAGAAAACATAATCTTAGTGCTTTCCATCCTCATGCTTTAAAAAGGGAAAATATTTTCCTTCTTAGGGATTATATTCTAATACTAGATGCCCTACCTAAAATAATCCAGGAAAAGCTTTAGAGCAGGGGTGTCAGACTCAAGGCCCATGAGTTGAATCCAGCCCATAGGGTGCTTAGATCTGGCCCGCGGAGCTGCCATGGAAAAAGCAAAGGACTGGTCCATGGTGCCTCTGCCAGTGAAAACAGAGCTCCGGAGGGCCACGTTGGCATAGCATCTGGGCCACCACAGATGCCCCTGACATGAGTGATGTCGAGCTGGCCATGCCCATCCCAGCCACCTGAAACAGTGGTAAAATCCAATTTTTTTTTTACTACCGGTTCTGTGGGTGTGGCTTGGTGGGAGTGGCTGGGGAAGGATACTGCAAAATCCCCATTCCCACCCCTCTCTGAGGCCAGCCAGAGGTGGTATTTGCTGGTTGTCCGGACTGCTCAAAATTTCCGCTACCGGTTCGCCAGAACCTGTCAGAACCTGCTGGATTTCACTCCTGCCCTGAAGTTAAACATAACCCTGATGCGGCCCTCAATGAAATCGAGTTTGACACCCCTGCTTTAGAGCTTAATTGCTCTGGTTATAGAAACTGGTCCTCAATTTTTCTATAGAGAGCAAATGTTGTGTTAATACATTGTGCAAACAAAGTATCCAATTAAAAATGGTACACTTAATGAAGATATTGCCATTGGCTTTATTTTCTTTGCATTTTAAGGCAACCTCATTAGTCAGAACCTACACTGAAGCTGAACACAGTGTCGCATTATGCAAGCAAAATTGAATTCAAACCTCTGCATTAATCCATGTCTTGTTTATCATCTATCCTAAATAATGATACTATATCAATTTCTAATCAGGTTTGATCTGTAATCTGAAAACTACTCATCCCCCATTTTCTCATCATTTGTCTGTGCTATTCTGCCTACTCTTCCCTAGGAGATGGAGCTGATTAAAAGAATTAACTCACTTCCTTGTTAGGATTATGCTAATTACATATCTGGAAGAGGTATTCTGATTAACAAGAAAGACTCTTTACAGGTGAAGGTGAAGTGGTTGAAAGAGCTCTGGCATCTGTTATAGCATGCCTTAGAACTAGAAAACGGGAGTGGCTCAATTAGGGGAAGTCATAATTAGAGATGAACCATATAATAAGAAGCACTTTTAAAGAATATTTTCAGCAACTGTAAAACACCTTACTTCCATTGCTTTGGGGCAATTTTGGTAATTACTTTGAAAATAAATGAAAATATTCATGTATTGACAAAGTAGCACCCTCATTCTGAGGGTAGTTTATTGCGCCACTGTGATACTTCTAAGAGCTATTTAAGTATATAGCATAGACCACATAGACTAGATATTATCATATAAATTAGCGTATTCTTCTGGGAGAGCAGTGGTGGAAATTGTGGTGGATTATCTGGAAACCAGTCGTTTGGAAAAAGCTAACCCGTGTAATGAGAGCATTTATTTCAGCTTTTCTTAAGAATGCTCATGACTCTGGCATTTTTTCCCCACTTACAGGTGGTTTAATTTGAGCTTAATTATGTCATCATGCACCAAATTGGACTGTTTATTAGATGTTGTGAAATCAGGTATATGATGCTGATTTGTCAGCTTTTCTCGTATGAAGAAGGCAATGCAGTAAAATGGCTTAGAAGCAGCCGCAGAAGATTGTTTCATATTTTTTTGTATATTGCCCTTGGTTCCTATAAGAGGAAAGGTGGTATATATATATATATCATCATCACCATCATAAACATCTAAAGATTTGAAAACCTACAACGGTTAATTCCACAGCTGAATATATTATGCAGATTAACTTCTGCTGACTGCCAATTCTGACCGGCTCAAGGTTGACTCAGCCTTCCATCCTTCCGAGGTCGGTAAAGTGAGGACCTAGATTTTGGGGGGCAATATGCTGACACTGTAAACTGCCTAGAGAGGGCTGTAAAACCACTGTGGTATATAAGTCTGAGTCCTATTGCTATATGGCACATTCTTATATTGGTTCATCTAGTGCAATATTGTTTTCGATTGCAACAGTAATCCTACTGCTGCTACCTGAAACTTTTTAAACTGGAGGCCCAGTTGATGATTGGGCGGTGCTATGGCTAAAAGTTAAGATGCTGGGCTTATCAGTTGGAAAGCCGACAGCTCAGGTTCGAGACCTGAGAATCATGCAACGGGATGAGCACCTGTCAGCCTCTATCATGCTTACTTGCTGTAGGCTACCATAGTAACGGGAGGGGGGAGGTATGAGTATTTGGGAGGGGGGAAGTGTGCTGGTGGAGATATCTCATAGAAGGGAGGAATATTCTCACTGTCTTCAGCGCAGCTGAAGGGAGTGCTGATAGCCAGTCAAGGTCAACTGTTCTGGCATACCAGATAGATGGCACCATCTGTAATTGCACCTCACATGACACCTTGGGGAGTTGGGGATTGGACATTCAGCTAGGGTCCTTGGGGGGGAGGGATTTTGGAATACTTTCAATATGTAATTCGCCTAGTTCCTGCCCACCTAGTAGTTTGAAAGCATACAAATGTGAGTAGATAAATAGGCACTACTTCGGTGGGGAGGAACTACTGCTCGGTGACATCATGCTGGCCACAAAATGCAGAAACATTTTTTGACTGTCAGTGGCCTTGAAATGGAGATGAGCACCTCCCCCTATAGTCGGCAACGGCTAGCAGAGTAAAATCCACAGGGACTCCCTTTTTCCCAGGTGAGGAACTGGGATCTTCTACTACACTATAAATCTTGTGCTTTTATGACTCCGTCTGATTCTCGTTTCCTGCTTGCTTATTAAACTGAAACAGTTGACATGGTTGGAATTCTGGAATGTGGTGTTTGCTGGGTGTTTGAGAGTTGGCACTAGCTCTCTCCGCTTCAGTCTGCAAGAGGAGCTGTCCAGCACTATCAGCAGTCAGCTGACTTGGTGAAGAATTGGACTGAAGCTGGGCAGAAGATTATTAGCCTATGCAGAGTTTCAGCACAGCATCTGGTTGAGATGTACTGGTATCTCGTAATGCGACTACACTTAACTGTCAATATTCATTTCCCATCCCCCATCCCCCATCCCCACCTCATGCTTCAAACCGAATCTTAACTTCAAGGGGCTGAACCTTTTTCATTACTATTTTGAATATAGAGTAGTGATTCTGGAGAATACAAAACTGGGGGAGAAATCCAATTGAGGAACATTAGATTTTTGATTCTGCAGATCCTTTGCATTTATTACAGCCATGCAGTTGTCCTCTGTATTCCTGATTCATTCTGGAGACCACTTTAGAGGAGATATCTAATCCAGTTTCATCTTTGGGTTCTGCAGGCATTAACATAGGCAACCTGTTGTTACACAAGTAAATGTGGCATGCTAGCCCACCATTTAGCAATAGCAATAGCACTTAGACTTATATACCACTTCATAATGCTTTACAGCTCTCTCTTAAGAGCTTTACAGAGCCAGCATATTTCCCCCAACAATCTGGGTCCTCATTTTACCGACCTTGGAAGGATGGAAGGCTGACTCAACCTTGAGCCTGGTGAGATTTGATCTGCCAAACTGCTGGCAGCTGATGATCAGCAGAATTAGCCTGCAGTACTGCACTCTAACCAATGCGCCACCGCAGCTCTTAGATTTAAATATCAAAATAGTGAGCATATTCCAGAGTATATTCCCATAAACCAGCCCTTCATCTTGCAAAGGACTCAATACGAAGATGATTTTTTTTTTTTAAAAAAAAATTGCAACGGTTATGGACTCTGGTCCTTAGCTTCCCTTCAGAACTGTCCTTCCTTCTTACCAGGCATATGCACCATACGACAGTTGCAGTTCTCCACCAAGTAGCGGGTTTCACAATCTATGCGGCAAGCAGTGATGCTATAGGTGTCATAGAATTCAGACTCCACTGTCACTGACTTGCAGTCACCCCAAGGTGGAGGAAGGTAGATAAGCTGAGCAACAGAGAATAGAATGAGAAGGTCAATATCTCCTTAATCTTTCCTAAGACAAAAAGAAGAGCTCCATTTGGCCTGTAATGATGACGTCATATATATGGACTCAGTAGAGTTTAAAAATGAAACAAGGCAGCAATAAACACATACAATAATATTACCAATAGCATATCCCAGTGTAGACAACAATACAACTCTGAAGTCAAAGCCTGCTACTCAGTAGCATTAGCCATTTGACCTCAGCCTGGATTCCTGGTTCAGATTCCAGGGATGTTTCAATCTAAGCCATTCTTTTCAAAGGAGAATGGAAGAAAAAGCATTGCGGGACACTTCTGTTTTTTTTTTTTCTTCCTTGCAACAATTTATATTCACTCATTATCCTCCTTTTCTTTCGGAAACCCAAGGCTGCATACATAATACCAGTTTCAATTTTTAGCCGTGATAAAATAGGAATAAAACATGTTTTATTCAATAAACGTAACTTGCAAGGTAGGTTTTGCTGAGAAACACTGAGTGGCTGAAAATAATTCAGTCAGCTTCCATGGCCGAGGGTGGATATGAACCCGGGTGCTCCTGGTCCTAGCCTAGTGCCTTAATCACAAAACCATTCCTGCTCTTTAGGACGGATACAAGAAGACGTTTTAAATGAAGCAAATGTGTCTTCAACTTACCCGCTGCTCTTGGCAGGACACAAACGTTTGGAAGCCAGGTGCCACTCCAAATCCCAGCTGGTCAATGAAGGGTGGCTCATCCTGGCTGTGGATCTGCACTTTAATCCCAGCTTCAAAGGATGTCTCATCTATGGCACAAAGAGATAGAAAGCATGGCAAGAGCAAGTGAGGTGGCCCTCCAATCCCCAGGGACATCAAGAGGGACATCCCAGGGACATCCACGCATCAAGGAGAAGCACGATGTTGAAGCTACAGGGGCATGGAGCGCAGGTTCTCCCGATCTTCTCAACACACACCTGCCATAGTTTCTCCTGGGTTAGGGATTAACAACCTTTCTGGGCCTTTTGGGAGCCTCTTTTAGGTATTGTCACAAAATGAGTGCCAGGATAGGTGAAATCGATTACAGACATTTATTTACCAGCAAATGGAGGAACTTGCAGCCTGAATTTTCCTCTAGACTTAACCCTTTCTTGTTGTTTTTCTGAGCAGCTGGGCATGCTTTCAAGTAAAACATTGGGCTATAATCCCTCACTCCTGTTTTCATTGTCTAAGGAAGCCCAGAGGCCTTCTAATAAATAAAGATGATTTAGAAATTGAGGTTTCCCTTTGCAAGCATGCCAGCTTTCCATAAATTTCTTTAAACTAAAGGATGTGTTAAAATATTAAAATCGAGCAGAAAGGGGAGGCTGGTAAATACCAAAAGAGATGTTTTTGGCAGCGCGTTGCTCCCCCTTGATCTATTATGCAGCAGTTTTAGGACTGATTGACTGACGAATCAAAATACCCAAAGACTCACAGAAACCAGTCTTCCTCCCCATTAACGCAAAGGTCGAGATTCAATCCAGGCACACATCCAGGGATATTAATAGCATTTTTGTTAAAACCAGGCAGAGCCCATATGGCCCTCTTTCTCTCCCCTTCTCCCTAGAAATGTAAAGCCAGCTAGAAATGCAAACATGTTTTTTGATGACCTTTTGATTAGGGACTCTGGATGACCTTTGATTGGGGACTCTGGCTTCACCCCCTCCTGCAGTCTGAAGAACACATTTCTCCCTTAACAGAACAAAATGCTATTTCTGGATAAGAGGCAGCTACCTGGTTGGCATTGCTAAGCTGGTTGCTATGGTGAGTAGGACAGGACTGAAGACGGGGAGGCCGAATAAGGAAACGGATGTGGAAAGGCAAGATGAGGGTCTCGGGTGGTTGTGCAAGTCTAGGAAATGATTGACTGGAGGGAGACTTAGAGGAGGGGAGGGGGTTTTGGCAAATTGAGGCTGCCTAAGGATGGGCAGTGCAGAACTATACATGAGGGATTCTGCCACGAGGAGAAATGAGGAACTGATGCAGGGATAGGAAAGGAGAAAGCACTTTTACCTGTCTCTCCCCAGACCGGAAGGTATTCATCCTGTTGAATGTCCAGCATGATCTCCAAGCCATTGCCGGTGCCCCCTTTCATGGTAATGAGGGGTGGCTTGTCAGACTGGCCAGAATTGAAGGTGTAGCACTTTCCGTAGCGGGTGAAAACCTGTGGAGGAGAAAAAGTAGGGTTAGGATAGGAGCCTGACACTTCGTCTGGAGGCCAGTGGGCTCTCCTAGCCTTGCTAACCAAAAGCAAGCCAGAGCATAACTTACAACATTGTCACATTGTGTCTTTCAACAAGTGTAATAAGTGTACTCTTTGGGCCTGGTGGGCACATCTGGAACTTGGGAACATGTTGCAGCACTCTTGCAAAATGGCTGCTGGGGGAGATGCTTGGCCAGTTCCAAAATGGTTAACCACAAGCATTGATTTGCTCGAACAGGTTGGGAACCATGGCCGTTGTATGACTTGTGGACTTCAACTCCCAGAATTCCTAAGACAGCATGCTCTCAGTGATCATATATATGTTCTTTACTATATAGGACAGTCTTTGCTTTCCTGAAAGCTGTGCTTTAGATTTATTTATTTTTTTAAAAAACTCATTTTTGTCCTTTAATTTGGCTATTTAACTTTTATCACACAAATGGTACCACTTAATGCACAATCTTTCACATTCAGGTAAAAAAAATATGAAACTTGAATTGTCTTTTAAAAACAAATTGATAATATTCTGTTTGGTTTTAGATATTTTTATTATTATGCATTTCTTGGGTTTACACTTGAATTTTCCTTTGTAAGGCAAAGTTAGAAACAATCAATTTAATATATTTTTTTTATCCTTACAAACCTCTTTCAGATTTGTTTCCTTTTCACATTTGCCTTTATCCCCCCCCCCAAGAAAACATGGTCTCTGAGGGATTCCTGGAAATAAAAATAATGTTGGGATGGGGCCCAACTCTTTCCTCTGCAGTACCTTGTTGCCAGCTCCCTTTAAAAATATTATTCTTTTTAAAATGCCAATTCATCTGAAGCAATGAGCAAAGGAAGAGATGTCTGAGGGCACACTGGCAACCTGGATACCATCTTAGGGACTCACCTTCCTCCCTTTCCCAGGTCCTCCTACTTTGGAGCCAGTCAGTTCCACTATGAATAAATGACCAGTGGGAAACAGTTGAGAACCAAAGACACAGGTTAGTGAAAAATTATATCCATTTGCTTGTTAGGCATAAGGAATATGCTGGATTAGAGGTTAAAAAGTGCTGTGCATAGAAAGAGCTGGCAGGATTCATTTGCTTCACGACTCAGGAAGCTAACTATCTCTGATGAATTCTCTTAAGCCCAGTGGTGGTCTTACTTCCTTCAGTATGAACAATAACAATAAGAACAGCAAATCACAGTGAAAGGGAACAAATACCGGCTCTGGTGAGCGTATTCACTGGTTGCATCTTCCATTAAAGGACAGACTCTGCCCTGCTGGCATTTACACTCATCTGCTGCTGGGTAACTCATCTTTTACAGGTGGCCAAATAAAAGTCCCTGCCAAGCAATTCATATAACAAATAGCCTAAGGAATAACATTTGGCAACTGCTACTCGAGGAAAGCTTAAAATATTTGTAGGCACATCTGGGTACTCTTGTTTCTGCCTTGTTGGCATGTTTGAGCCAAATTCTTGAAAGAATAAAATTCAGACACAGACATGGACAGGCCGTTCTGCATAAAGCCACGAAGGAAATATGCAAGGTGTCTTTTCTGCCCTCCCCCCATACCGCCATACATGCAGAATCTGTCTCTTTATCTGTATATGTGTGTCATAATTTGCCTTTTCCTTCTGCCGAGTTCTACAGAGTACTTATATTAAGTATATCTCCATAGAAAGCCTGCTTGGTGTAATGCTTAAGGCAGGCAGGCAGGCAGGCTGGAAGCCAGGGGACTGGGAGTTCTAGTTCTGCCTTAGGCACAAAGCCAGCTGGGTGACCTTGCGCCAATCACTTTCTCTCAGCCCTAGGAAGGAGGCAATAGCAAACCACTCTGAAATCTTTGCCAAGAAAACTTCAGGGACTTGTCAAGCAGACTATAAGAATCAGACACAATTGAACAGATGGAAAAAAAGTCTGATTGAAAAAATAACGGAAGAGGGAATGTGTCTAAGTGTCCTTCCAATTTGGAGACTTTGTTCTCACATTTGGTATGTGCAGTCCTCAAATTGGTAAGATCTTGGTAACTACATGTGATAGATAAGTAATTCAACTAACTCAGTCTTCTTCTTTTTTTTTTTTTACATATTTCAGGTTTCTGCTCTGCAGAATTAGCCAGTACTTTAAATCTACTGAGATTTTAGGAAATACCGTGTTTCCCCGAAAATAAGACCCTGTCTTATATTTTTTTGAACCCTGAAATAAGCGCTTGGCCTTACTGCCATGCGCTCAAAAGCCCGATTGGGCTTATTATCAGGGGGTGTCTTATTTTGGGGGAAACAGGGTAGTGAGCTGTACTATGTATGCAATTGCACTTGATTTTAGAATCCCACAATTTCCTTGTCTCTGGTATTGTTCTTGAGTCAAGGATAGAAAGCAAGTATTGATAGTTACTAAGATTCCTGCAAAGACAAAAAGATTCAGGTAATTTATAGAAGAAAATATTTGTAGCCCAGGGTTGAACTGTGGGGTCCTTGCTGCTCTCTGAGCTTGGTTGTTTTCTTGAGGACGTTTCACTACCAAACTAAATAACAACATCAGTGCTAGTTTGCCAATGAAACATCTGCAAGAAAACAAGCAAAATGTAGGAAGCACCAAGGACCCCCATAATTTATACTCCTTATTCTTATTTGGTAGTAGGATCTTTCTCTACACAAATGCTAACCTCTGGGTTTCAGGCAAACAAAATCTAATATTCTCCCATTATCCCCTCAAAGACCCCATTCTCTGCACAGGTCACGTATCATGCAAAGCAGTAATTAATAAAAGACCATGCTGTATTTTCAGTTATTTAGGAAAACTTATTTGTACATTGGAAGTCTAAATTATGGCATAGTTATGAATGATGCATGAATTATAGAAAATGTTTAAATTAATCATTTAATCATTAATAATTATTGAATTAACTGCTAGCTAGCGACTGCTGCATTTTTGGAAAGCATTCTGCTATAATTTTGTTTCTTTGTTATGCTTTTAGGATAACCGGTAAGGGGAAAAAAAGATTGTCCTTCTTAAGAAGGCTCAATTAAAATTTATCTAAAGGTGAATGCAATGAAAAAGAAGATATCCCAGTTAGACAGCATCTCAAGGAGAAGTTTGCCTTGGCTCTTATGTCTCATATGTCATGTTATGTATTTAGGATTGCAGCATCAATGAAAAAGTAGCTTACAGTATTTCAAAAGGATTAGTTGCTTTTCCTTCAGCTATTATATTTGCTGAAAAATGGAAAGCGGGGAAAAGGTGTTACAGTTCTGTGTATCTTTTGGGGAGGGGTCATAATTTTAATTCAAGGAATAACTTTGGCTTGTCCTTAGCCTACTGCTATAAAAGATTGTGACTTGGGGATAGGTAGATAGTATGATCTCAGAAGCTCCTTGGGCAAGAAGGATCTGTATGTAATAAAAAAGAGCAAACTGAGAAATGTGGTTGGGTGACTGTTAGACCCGTCAGCTATGACAGGGATGTCAAACTCTAGGCCCGCGGGCCAGATCCAGCCTGCAGAGTGCTTCAATCTGGCCTGCGGGCCCACCCTGGAAACAGCAAAGGACTGACCTCCTGCTTTCACTGACAAAGGGCCATCGCGGCTGAAAACAGAGCCTCGATGAATGATGTCAAGCTGCCCACGCCCCCCTCTGCCACCCCGAGGTCAAACACAACCCTGATGTGGCCCTCAATGAAATAGAGTTTGACATCCCTGAGCTATGAGGTCTGAGCCGAGCTGTGGTTTGGGGAAATCTTTTTTCCCCTCACCTTTCTTTTGTTTGAGCTTCTGTTATTTTGTTCGCGTAGGTTGCTGAGCCACCTGCTCAGCTCACTCCTGTGGTTAGCATTATGCTTGCCTTTCTCTTTATTTGAGCCTTTGTTTTCATTCTCTTTATTCACTGAAGCTGTTGATTCACCCAATTTAGTCTCCTGACGGAGTCCAAGATTTGTTTTATTCATTTAGGGAGAGTCTTTTTCTCTATGGGAGAGCCAAGAGTAGGGCCAGAATCAACAGCTTGGACTGACCAGAGGAGGCGAATTCCACAGGAAATCATTATCTGTTTTCTGGGGAGAAGAAACAAGATGGTGTAGAAGAGGAAGCTTGAGAAAGGAATTGAGAAACATGGCAGTGGCATCTGGAGACTAAGCTTGAAGACTTAACGGTATGAAAATGTTCTAGGAAACTGTGAAGGGCATAGCATATTTGTTTGCCTGCCTGACATTCGCCTGAACTGCAATTTTAACTAGGACAAGTTAAAATAACTCTGTTGGAAAGAAGAGACAAGAAGATTCAGGGCAGCCTATATAGATGATAAAGAGGATGAAAGATTTTTAGATGGCAAGCAGAACAGGAGAACATCAAAGCTAATGTCATTTTCTACGCTGAAAGAAAAGAACAGGAATGTAAAAGAGTAGAATATATTTAGACCACAGTTCAACTTCAAAAATACAATCTACATAAATACACTGAAATGCATTTTTAAACCAGGCAGCAAAAATACTCAGATACAATATTTAATAGTTCAAATGATTCATATTTTCGATTATCGACGGGGAATGATATGCATTCCTTTAATCTGTGGCCAACTGTACCACAATCACAAGATTCAGGCCTGCTAAAAGTACTTGAATCAGTGACAAGTCTCATCAGGTTCTCCTTCCCTTGTGATCTTCTAGTTTTGCTTTAGAACAAGCCACAACTGTCTATGATCCTAGTGCTAGGGGAGTTATGGTCTGTTTTAGTCATAGCTACCTTCAGGCTTTCTAATCTACTGTGTAATTACAATCTTTCTCATCACTGTCAATCAATCTCCCCCACAGAACTCCAGAGATTGGAGAGTGAACATCTGCAGCAAGAAACTGCCATATTTGGCTAGGTTTCATGGACAATTTGAACAATAACATTCCTGGTTTTACAATGTGTATGAAGTCTATATCATGAAGCCTACTATAACTTTACTGGTCAATCTTATCTCTAAGCTACAATC